GGACGATATAATTCTAAAATTTCATGGATTATCCGTCAATGGCAACGTAGTTCACGGTAGTTGTAATGAAACGTTGCGATGCGATGAATGAACGCGGGACAATATCCACGGGAATTCGAGCAAATATTGAAGCGACTTCGGTTAAATATCCTTTAACAAGGAGTTTGGAGCAAATTATGCAACTTAATTGTAACGAAGGTATCCTATATTTTATTCGTGCTAATAAAATCTGAATTTAAACTGTTAGTAAATCATACTAAATGGTTCTGAAATTGGTAATCAGTTTTGATCCGACCGAGGATCAATATCAAATGGTCGAAGTCATTACGCTTCTCTTGTAGAATATGCGTAGTTAGAGCGAAAGTATTTATAATATTTATAACGGACATGTGAACATGATTCTAAAACTAATTGATGTAAAAATCTGTAATAATTCCTACCACAGCGTATTAAAAATATACTTAGATTCCAAAATTTAAACAAATCCGTTCGCTATCAAAGGAATTATGAGTGTCTCGGTTGATCAAAAAAATACGTTCATTGGTTTTAAATAAAAAATAATTTATGGGCCGTCACCAAGAAGAAAAATGAGATAATAGAGCTTCTTGGGGATAGTTCAGAAGCGAACAGGGCTCTGATGTCTCGGTTGTACGAAGAGCTTCTGGAGAAGATAACCGTATTTTCGTCTGCATGCAGTGAACTGATTGATTCTCTGGATGGCGACTCTAAGAGCAGATTACTGGAGTGGCATCAGCAGCACATGGCATCTATTGTAGAGTTTAGAATATGAGTTGACAAGTATTTAAGTGTTCGCGTCAGAGAAACTGGTGGTGGTTTCGGGTTGAAGGTGAGGAAGCAGACACGTTGACCACTTGTTTAACCTGGACTCATCAATGATTAGTTATTTCAAATTTCACCATATCTGGCCTCATTTCACTCTCACAGGTGTCCATCTTCTGATTGTTGACAGTTTTCACAATGAGAAGTGGCAATTGGCAGATTCTTATTTAATATGATCCATTTCACTTGCTATAAGGTAGCTAGACGACCAGTTTTGGCAATAAATGTAGCAGTTGCTTTCATAATGGAGCGCTGGACTTCGTCTGGGAAAGTTGCCTCCACCAAGGAGCACACGAACAGTTGTGTGAGGGACCCCCAAGGCATGAATACTTGAGACCATCTCCTGTCTAACTTGATCGTATTGAACACACGCAAGGAGAAAGTGTTCGATAGTTTCTTCAACCCCACAATGAGGGCACATGGGAGAGTCAGCCATGCCGGAACGATGGAGGTAGGAACGAACCCTAACATGATCAAGACGAAGGCGGATTAAAACTGCTGTGACACGGCGATATTGACTTGCAACCCATGGGACAGGAGATAACCCTGAACCCAGAGCGGACAGAAGCAAGATGTTGGCCCTTTCCGTCAGCAGCTACTGCAATAAATAAAAAATTCAGAACTGGGCAGCGCTACTTGGAAATGTAGCGGCGCTACCGCTACCGCTACATGCTCTAAATGTAGCGGGCGCTACCGCTACCGCTACACCAACTAGATTGTAACGGGCGCTACCGCTACCGCTACAGTAAAATGTAGCGCGCTACATTAGCCGCTACAGCTAGAGGGGAAATTGATCTTGAACATGGAAGTCCGAATTTGTTGTTTTCCTTTTAGTATTCGCTCTGCGCTTACATCCTTGTGCCCTGCTTCCTTGAGAGCAGCTGTTAGTTCCTCATCAGATATGTCCTCTCCAAATGGCCCAATGACACCAGAACACATTGTCTGGTTTAAAGGAAGATGACACTTCACACTCCATGAGCCAAGTTTATTTACACGTAGAAGTTGATTCAGATCATTAGGGGCATCCTCTTTCACACTAGTCGCCAGTCACTACAAGGAGCTGGCGTCTGGAGTTCTTAGTAAAGTGCATAGTGACAAACCAGAGATTTTTTAGAATCAGTTCATTTTTTAATTTCCTTATTTACTCAAGATTTAAACTAATTTCTTATGTATGATTATGCTGGTATTCATGGTACTTTGCTTGTCTACTTATAGGACTCAAAAATGAAATTGAGGGAGAGTCTAAAAAAAAACTCTCTGCTTTGACACTATGGTAAAGTGGCTAATGCCCACTTGACCAAATGGTGATTTAGCCAGAGCTGTGCTAATAGCAATATCATTAGAGAAGAACTTACTCAATGGGCGAGCGCCAGGGCCATCAGGATCTGCAACAGGTTCTATGATAATTACTTTGTTGTTGGAGTCAGGATGATTTGGGATTGGCATGGATAGGTGTTGCTGAGATTCAAATTGATCATTGGCATTCAGAAGGTTGTTGTATCTGTGTACATTTGTAACAACAAATGTATCTGTGTCGTGTCGACAGTGTCGTTAACATGTAAGTCGTCCATGTCATGTACCTCAACCTCTGCACTAGGTAGGACAGTGTCATTGAGGCTGAGAGGCGGCATTTGAGACCAGGTCGGTATTGCACTTCCAGAGAGATTAGGCTTAGAGAGTGATGCAGACTGAGAGTTGGTCTCGGAGCAGTTAGATGATACTGAAGCAGTATCACCTTGTTCCTTTTTCCTGCGTTTGGGCATTTTATCCATTTTTTGTGTAATTTGACGGATTCAACAATTAATGCAATGAAAAATTGAACTATCAATGCAATAATCTCAATTAACTATTCGTCGTCAGACGTCGATAAATGGGCAGAAAAACTTACACACGTCCGTTGTCGTCCGTAGCTTCCCATAGAACTTTACGAAAGGGTTAATTTCCATCATATGACGCAGTTTTTCCGTAAATTGCATTACCGGAAGCGGAACGGAATTACGGAACTATTTTGCCAGCCAAGGAGAACCAAAATATCTGTTGACATAGCAACAAGATATATTCTTGTTTACAACTATAGCTTAGTTGGCTATTTATAAGGCTGTAATGAATAGAGAAAATGAAAAAATTCTCTGTAGCAGGAAATGTGCTAACGTACCCCTTTGGAAGGCCACTAGATTACAAATACAAAAATTTTGAATCACTATCTGCGAAAGAAATATTAGGAGTAATCCAGTTACTTTATAACTTAAAAATTAAGTGCTAGGCAGAGGCTTCTTATATCTCTAAATATATTTTTTGCAAATAATTTTGCACTTTAAACCATATTGGGACTGAATCGACACTTTTGCGGACCCGTCTGCGAACTCGCCTGCGGACTCGCACAACTGAATCACTCATAAGTCCTTCAATAATGAACGGATTTGCTTGTATTTTGGAATGTGAGTATTTATTATCGAAACGCTGCCGCAGGAATTATTACAGATTTTTATATAAGGCGTTCGATTCAGGGCTTATTGGTGCACAAAATTGGTGGTGCACGGCTGCGCTCCCCCCTCGAAAATTTGGATTGGCGGAACAGCTGAGCCTCAGCTGGGGTAACAGCTGTAGCTGGCGAGAGAAAGACAGGGAGGGGCTGGGGGATTCAAAGGAACGACGCGACAGGTCGGGGAATATCTCCCTAACTAATGAACGCGCTCGATAGAACTTGTTACACTTATTCGTTAGTACCTAACGCTAACGGCGATGTTTAAGGAATTTCTTCCAAGCTAATGAACAGATTAGAACGAAATTTTATATATAAATTCCTATATACATAACTACCAAACGGTGATGTTTAGATTGTGAACAATTTTTCGACTTTGTTGGACGTCTCGGACAAATTTACGGCCGGACCCTCGGCCGGTCACGCGGCTGCCGGACTCCAAACATAGAAAAAACTTAGCGAATCAACGAAAACCTCGCAGGTTAGGTCCAGTTAGGAACAAGTTTCATTAAAAACTAAAAAAAACTATAAAAACCCATAAAAAAAAACAGAAAACCCTCCGGCAGCCAGACCGGCCGCGGGTCCGGCCGTGAATTTGTCGGAGACCTAGTTCAAACCTAGAAAAGCCCATAAAAAAAAAAAAAAAAAAAACCTTCCGGCCGCCAGACGGGTTTTTCCGGACCGCGGGTCCGGCCGTGAATTTGTCCGATAGCTCTTTGTTGGTGCACCAATCATCTTGCATGGAAACATGCACCCATGGTTGAATTAATGGTTGAATTAAAGAATTGTATTAATTCAACCATGCATGCACCAACCTTCTAACCAAGCCGGGGAATAAGAAAGTGGAATGTATCCACACTTACAGGCACAACTGAATTTTTAAAGCAAGAACTTCATTAGTTTTGAAGCCATGGTAGGATTATTTGAGTCGAGAGTCTATTTTTGAGTCATGAATTCATTTTCAAAGTAATATAAAATAATTTTACAGACAAATTTTGTGCTGTGAACTTTTAGAGGCTGCCAGATGCTCGATCACCTCTGGGAAAGACGATGTCTTCACAATACCGAGTGAGACAATAGTGAAGGATGTCGCTTCGCGCTCGATTGCTTGAATCGCAAATTAATCAGAAATCCCATTAAAATTCCGTTTTAAATATATATAAATTTAAATAATAACTGCATTCAACTATTTTCTCATTGAGTAAAATGTAAACCTACTGGAGTGAAAATCGCATTTTAACTTGTTAATCTAGGACTAGGTCCTCCCTTCCTTTTTTCTGTGTCCTATGATTCCATCACTAAATTAAAATTTGACTTCGAGATAATATTTCGACACGATTGTATTTCAGGGGTTAGGGACATACGCACCAGAACAGCCTCCAAATATTTTTGAATTGCTGTCAATTCAATCCCAAAATGTCTATAGCTCCGTCACTAGTGCCTGGTGAGCGAAGAGAACTTTGCTGCTAAAATGTTGAAAAGAGAGTGATAATCAGCACCTAAATTACTAAGTATACATATGTATCAGATTAGAATGAATTACCATTAGTAATTCTGCGATGTAAAATTCCGTCATTTTATTTCAATGAATACCTAATTTAGACTTGCTAAACTGAACAAGAATAAAGAATAATTCAACCTGCTAATATTGTGCCAGAGTTGCCAACTATGCTTTAGCTTGCGATCAGAGAACAACCATGATGCGCCATGAAGCAGTTTCAGCCGGGCTCTCACGTGTAATCTAGTTTTTACCTGGGTTGTGAAAGGTAAGCGTTTACACGACCATTCAATTAACAACTATCTGTGTTATTAACATTGATGTATTTTATAGACATTCTAGCTTAGGTTGCAAATTTTGCATACGCAATCGCAACACTGATTTAGATGGCTTGCTCATTTTTATCATTTCCTTTTTGCATCGAATGAGTGCTAAACAGGTTTGGTCGTAAATAATCATGTGAAGGTAGAAGTAATCAGACAACAAGAGCGTTATACTGTATATGATATACCTAATTGCGTTAAATATGAAAACATTAGATTGAACGTGAATTTTTATAGAATTGCTAATAAAATCGTCTCCTGTTTTTTTTTTTCAAAAAATAAAACAAATTACTCAGAAATATTTAGAAATTGAGCTTTGCTTTGTCTTTCCTTTTAATGGATGCTATGGCAATTGTTTTTTAGGTAATCGATCGACCATGAACGCGCACGACTTTAGGGGCAAGAGGGCGCTGGTGACGGGCGCTGGCGCCGGCATCGGTAGAGCCACAGCGCTGAAGCTGGCTGAGCTCGGAGCTGAAGTTGTCGCTCTGAGCCGCACGCAAGAAAACTTGGACAGCCTCAAGGCCGAAAACCCGTCGATTGAAATAATCTGCGTGGATCTCGCAGATTGGAACGCTACTAGGGAAGCCGTTCAGAAAGTTACTCCAATTCACCTCTTGGTGAATAATGCAGCCGTTGCTTTACTTGCTCCGGTTTTGGAGGCCACGCCGCAAGAATTTGATTCATCATTCAATTTGAATGTGAAGTCTATTTTAAACGTCACACAAGTGGTGGCGTCTGACCTTGTGGATAGAAAATTGAAAGGTAGCATTGTGAACCTTTCCTCTCAAGCTGCCCAGCGTGCGCTGAAGGATCACATTGTATACTGTGGAACCAAAGCTGCAGTCGACGCCTTCACAAGATCTATGGCTTTGGAACTCGCGCCTAAAGGAATAAGAGTAAACTCTGTAGGTCCAACAGTCGTGATGACTGCAATGGGACGCATTGGTTGGTCTAAACCCGAGAAAAGTGATCCAATGAGAGCCAGGATTCCGCAAGGGAAATTTGCAGAAGTTGAAGACGTGGTCAATGCAATAGTTTATCTGTTGAGTGATAAGAGTGATATGATAAATGGCCATATGCTTCCCGTTGAAGGAGGTTTCTTCTGCTCTTGAACTATCGCAATTTCTCTGAATATTATTCCATTTAATGTTATTATTATGATGATAGTTGAAGGATGCGATGACGCAAGTAAAATTTGTGAGCAAATTACTTCGATTGTTTGTTATGACCGAACCTTTTGTTGAGTTTAACTTAATTTCATGCTGTAATTTATTTGATTCGTTTTGTTTTACTACTATTTGTTGGAAATTAACATGAGATGTTTAACCGCGGCAGACATGAAAGATGAATAGAGTTGTGTTCCTTCGATAAGCTCAACTGAAGGGAAAACTACAGCATTGTGCTCATTGCAATCTATTGTAGATTGTTCACAATGCGGCCCGCGCAAGGGAACAGGCAAATCGCTGAAAATATGTTAAGCTTATATTTATTTGTCAAATTTTTCTAGAATTTTCGGGCATATGCTAGAAGTTTTTATTTTGCTAAAATTATAATCGAAGTTCACTGCATTCCTCGTCTTACTTTCCATGCAGGCATGATGGATTAAATTCGAAAAGTTTCTTAAAAAAGTAATTAAACTGTTATTTTATTGTAATGAATAGCGAGCCAGGATTAAATGCTCTCATAATTTCTTGCCCAAAAAATAACAAGTTTGCGGCCAGGTCCAATAACAGATTCAGATTTAACAGGAGATGATGAGAGTTCACATATTTGTACGTTAGTGTAGTTACGCAGAAGCTCTTATTTAATACAAGTTTCATTGAAGACCAAAGAGTATTTGTATGATCGTAGTATGTTTCATTGAATACACTCGAGCGCAAGAAACATAATAATTTTGCAAAAGTCTTCTTTATTTAAGTTTTAAATTCATGTTGAAGTTCTAAATTCATGTCCTGATGATAAAATACGTTTCAGCAGGATGTACCCGCGTTAATTAATTAAAAAAAACTGCTCGTAGGAATATACATTTTACGGTTAGAACGAGTCGACACCATTCTTTTGGCGCTAACCTCGCACTGCAAGTAAAGGTTTCTAAAATTGATAAGCGTTGCCTACTTCTTCATTGCGAATGAGTTCCTAGTCCTACATTCGTTTTTCCTCGCAACTAAATGGTCCGAGTTCGATATGGCTGCGGTGTGGGTAGCTAATTGCCTCGAGGGCTTGTAACTTATGACAATTCTCTTTCCGTTTTTACCCCGAAATTAGATTCAAAAGACGCGTGGAATGTCAAGTTTTGGCTGCTTCGCACACGACTAAACTTCATTGTGTTTTTTGCACTAAAAATCAATCAAAAAGTTTCAAGTTTAATGAGTAGAAGATGAGTTCAAAGTATAAATCGCCAGCATCATAAGTCAATTTGACACGAATAGATTATCCACTAATGCATAATTTCAGATGTTCACAATGAAACACATGAAATAGACACTTGAGATAATTTTTGTTCATAAATTAACGAATATTTTCACCCTTTCGCTCCACCTCAAAGGTAAGTTCAATGCCCCATCTCAAACATGATCTATGTTGCGGGGACTGAAGCCAATAACTCACCAATAACTACTTTAAGGACCGTTTCTGCTGACTCAACAGTCGCGTCTAGAGGCCAAGTAACGGTTGGCCACAACTCGAGAGTCCGACGCGTCGGGCAGCGTTGTATGGCGACGAATTAGGGTCATTTCGAAGTTATTGTACATATACTCAAATGTATTTCCATGTTTAATTGAGTAGAGTAATTTATTGACCAGTTTAAATTTGTAATTTTGGTCGTAAAATTTACATTCTATGCTGCCCATTCTCCCCATTGTTAGAGTCATTTCATTCACTGTAACTAAAAATAAAAATTTCCCAATGTCGCACCTATACAGGATATATTGATCATGAAGTAACAGACTCCTAGGTAACGGTGAGACACTAAATATGCATGAACTTTGATGATAATCAACATACATACGATACTCATAAGGCTGATTAATGATTACGCTTGTCCCAAAGAATGAATGTTCCCAATCTTATCTCCGCGACGTCTGTTTAGGTAGTTTATTGATATATACAATATTTCGAAGATATATTGTATACATCAATATGCATTTTTTTGGCAGTGTTCTTGCAGCTTTCAAGATGAGAAAACAAAACATCATGTAACCGCGCAGTCATGAACGATGCACATGTCACCTAATATCTCAAGCGATCTGCACTTGGTAACTAGGGCCTTGGATGAGATAACTAATCAGTCCAGGTTGTGCCACAGACCTGAGAGCAGCAGAGTTTATAAGGAACACAGCATCGGTACATTATAGGTTGGTGCGCAGCTCCTAAACTTATTTATTTGTGTTAACGGCGCTCCTTGGTGGCGTCGCAGGGTCACTTGCAATGTATAGGGAAGACATATCACAGGCTGGCAGTGGCAGGCGGATAAAAAACTGAAATACTTATGCAATTAAGCAAATAGGTGCAGAGTGCTTAATAAGAAGGGTTAAAATAACATTCTGAGGTTTTAAGTTGTACAGAAGGTCGTGAATAAAATATTAGGACATGGGATGGCTTAACGGTGTTTGCAGCGTTCGTAGAGAAATGATAAATACTTGGCATGCATACACTAATGTTAGTGTCGGCAGTGCAATTTCATCAGCTCCAGTTTGATCAATAAGTAGACTTTTATAATTTTTGTAGCATCATTTCTTTAATAAATTATCAACCTCTATTGAAATTAAAAATGATAACTCAACAATAATGACGCGATAGCACTTTGACCTTATGATTGGAATATTTTTGTACATACTTTCCTGCCGATATTTTACTTCTGCTATTCAAATTGTAGTTCAATTTCTACTATTCAATTCTATTAATTTATATGTTAACTTTCCTATCCCTTCTTTCAGTAACGTTTTCCATCAAGAAACGTCAGCATGAACGTCTTGTCAGTTGATTTTACTGGAAAGAGCATTTTACTGGCATCGGAAGAGCGACGGCTCTTCGGCTGGCTGAGCTTGGGGCGAAAGTGTATGCCTTGAGCCTAGTCCAAGCCGAGCTTGACAGCCTCCATGCTGAAAACCCCGCAATTGTTACGCTTTGCGTGGATTTGCAAGACTGGGAAGCTACTCGGGAAGCCGTGAAAAAAGTAACTCCGATTCATCTCCTTGTAAACATTGCGGTAGTTTTTAAGTGGAGCCCAATATTGAAGACCAGTCTTGCCGATGTTAATGCAAGCCTCGACGTGAACGTCAAAGGAGTTCTCAACGTGTCGCAAGTTGTGGCATCAGACCTCATCACTCGAGGCGAGAAAGGAAACATAGTCAACATGTCATCGATAGGAGGGCAAAAACCTATGATTCAAACTGGTATCTACTCAGCCTGTAAAGCAGCTGTTGACTCTTTCACGAGGTCGATGGCTCTGGAATTGTCGTCAAAAGGCATTCGTGTGAACGCTGTCTGCCCCACCCTAGTGACAGACACCTTCTCAGGCCAGGTTATGGCACCAAATAGGAAAAATACTGAAACTGGGGCCGGAAACGAGCTTCTGATGGCTAGAACTCCTCAAGGAAAATTCCCTTGCAGGAATGACGTCGTCAATGCTGTAGTGTACTTGCTTAGTGACTACAGTGACCTCGTCAATGGACATTTATTGCCCGTTGATGGAGGTTTTTTGTGTTCCTAAGAAATTTCGTTCACAGTTACAAATTTACTTTACAATAGTATAACTTCGAGAAACGTTATCGTTATTCTGTTCATGCATTTTTCTTTACATTAGTGCCCTAATATATTGTACATGAAACTAATAATATGAAGTTTTCATGTACAATATATATTGTACATGAAAACTTCATGTCAAAATTGAGGGCAGTTCCTCGTTGCCGATTACGTCTTTCGAATTTTTTATATAGAATTTCCATATCATAGAGCAGCACGCAAAGAAGTTTTCACCGCCGTGCTCTTTGGTGGGGCCAAATTTTTGTCTCAATAATAGATATCTAATATTACCTGACTTACCACTAAAACTTACATCATTCCCTGGGCTCAAGATAATGGGCATAACGTTTGACATGTTAGCCAAAATTTATTCATGGGAGCTTTGTACAAATTTTAGGGGTGGAGTGTGAGTCAGGAACTAGGCTATAAATACAAATATGAACCAAACTTTGCAACTGGAACTTTCTTATCATTGTTTCTGTACATGCAATTACTTTAGGGCTGCATTACAAATAAGAACATATCACTTACGATACATTTTAGTGAAATTTTATCCAATATATCATCAAGCTGCATAAAAATTTTCAAAATACAATTCAAATAAATTATTTTAGAAAGTACTGATGAATACCTTCTTTTTGCGTACAAATTTATTTAAGACATCCAATTACGAAATCAGTATTTCCAAGTCGCAATTATGATTATTGTTCAATACTGGAAGATTATAATTCGGGGGTTGTGCGGGATTAATTATTTAGAGTTGAGAGTAATCCGTAAGCAAATCGTCATCCCCGTTGTCATAATAATTTGTAAAAATAGTAATGACAATTATAGATTACCAGATCAAACCCATTTGAAACAAAACCCCCTTTTTAATTGTCCTATTTTGAAGTTTGCAAAAACATTAATAAGTCAGTCATGTAATAATAGTCTTTTGTTTTCAGCTTTATATAGCAGCTCCAACCGGCGTTGCCCGGGTTATATAATTCATTAACTTTAAAAATCCTCTTAATCCTGAACAATTTCTCTCAAACCCCGTAACGATTTTTCATACTAAGAATGCAAATGTAATGAAAGGAGTGTCATGACTCTGCTGAAATGAATCATTGGCGAATGAATTTTAGTAAAAAGAATTTTATTAGCAAAATCGCTAGTAAAATGAATTTGGGTTCCAAGTTACAAATCATGTCAATCTACAATTAGCATCATCATTTATGATAATTGTCACGAAGAGCGGGGGCGTTGAAAATATTGCGGAACTAAACACCATATGATGAAAATATATTTTGAGGCATGAAGTAGACAGAAATTGGGTAATGTAAACGTGTATATAATAGACTGAGTTGAGTGCCCGACACCAGTTTTTGCACAGCGCCTGACTTTGCAACAACGTGCACCCTCTCAAAATAGCATTGGCTCCAGCAGAGATAGTTTTCATCGCCGCAACTTAGAAATAATATACGTTACGCTCTATTGATTATAAGGGATTGAAAAATAGCTTTAATTAATGCTTTAATTAATGTAATTAATTAACGAAGTCATTTCTATCATAGTTTTAACGAAGTAATCTTTATAAAAGTCAAGCGGTTTTTAATACGTTTAATGTAGTTAAATACTTCGAATACGGCGTATTATCTAACTATTGAACTATTAACTGTTACGACACACATAAAACTACGCAGTTCTTTTCCTGCTGAGGGCACCAGTGTAGTTAACTAAAAAAATATAAAAGACACGCTTGAATGAAAGAAAAAGCAATGATACAGAATTAAATGCAAGTTGTATAACTTCAGAATTCAAGAATTTAAAAACATAGAAAACAGCAAAAATATTCACCATTTTGGAATGAAAACGTTCTAGAGTGCAGCTCCATCGTCAATTCAGAAGTTCAAAACCTATAAGAAAAGCATAATCAATTAGAAGTATTATAAGTATTATAGGTTTTGAACTTTTGAACTGACGATGGAGCTAGACTCCGAAACGTTTTCATTCTTAAGAAACGGTGAATATTTCGGCGGTTTTCTTTGCTTTTAAATTCTTGATGAACTTGCGATTTAAGCAGTCTAGTAATTTTAGAACTTCAGAATTGATTAAATAATAAATTATTTTTATTTGATACAAGACAATTTTCGACGCATCAGATGATTGTTGTTGAATCTCTACTCTTAGAAAAAATTCTAGAACAATATTTTGACGAGCATTGACTAGTGCGTACGCTCAATCCATGGGTTATCTGGCATCTATTATAATGCATGTATCGAACCAACTCCTTGTCTGCATTTAGTTTGTTTAAATCACATTATTATATCTATCGAAGCTCAGCTGACATTTTCATCATGGTCGCGGTTGTCTAGTCTGACACAGAGCTGGAACCGTACCAGCCCATGCAGTTTATAATAGGTAGTCCAGCGTCATTCGGCCCATCGTAAAGACTTACGAGTATTCAAGGCTCATTATTTGCAATGCCTGATCTTGCTGAGAGTCAGGTGACTCTGACCAGTGCCAGACGTACTTCTGAGGACACGTGAGTAAACAGTTGATTTTCTACGGATTAACCCTAAATTAAGGCGCTTGACTGAACTCGGCCAAATTATTTTAATAAGAAAGCTCTCATGTTTTTAATCGCCTATCACAGTGGTTCCCAAACCTGTTCAAGCTGGCTCCCCTTTTGGCTCCCCAGTGAATCCCTGGCGCCCCTCAGCCGAAAGAAACGTATAAAAACAAAAGCCTCTTTCTTGATATTTAGTTCGCTGCAAATTTAAATGAGAAATGTTAGACACAAATGTGCATTTCACAAATAGAATCTCATTTAGTAAACCAACATATTTTTTACAGTTTTAAGTGTTTCAGCACTAGAAATTCAAGACGGTTCGGACAAATTTACGGCTGGACTCGTGGCCGGTCTCGCAGCCGGTCTCACGGCCAATCTCTAAATTCAGTGACTAAGGAATATCTCCTAAACTAATGAACGCAGCTCGATAAAACTTGGAACAAGTATTCATCAGTACCTAAAGGTGATGTTTAGCTCATGAAAACATTTTTAATTTCACCTTCATTCGGAGTTATATGGCGATATGGGCTGAAATTCGCAGTGATAAAAGACTGTCTTTCAAACTACTGAACAGATCCGAATGAAATTTTACAATATACGTAAACGGTGATTTTTAGCTCGTGAAAATTTATTCGATTCGGAGTCATGGTCTGCACGTGTTGTGTACAAATCGCCAAACAAACGTACAAACTTCTGACGCGGACTGCGGCCCCCCTACTGTCCCTTTCTTCCTCACCGCCCCTCCAGATCTTTCCGCCGCCCCCCCAGGGGGGCAATATCACCCCCAGGAGGGGGGCGATATCGCCCACTTTGGGAGCCACTGATCTATCACATATTTACTCCCGGGACGGTCATAAAACTACGATGAAAATTTCAGTGGACGAGTACATATCAGTGGTCGTACAAAATTGTACAGCTCCATGGTCGGAGTGTTGAGGGCTTCAAATAGTGAACTTGTAATAAGCAATGAGTAGTGACAGTTATTGATCCACTTAATCAAGATGTAATAGGAAACAAAGCGGCACCGTGCCATTAATTAAGTACATTTTTGTACATGAAGAGTCACTACTAATTGGGCACAAACGGATAATTAAAGAAATTATATCATTCTACATATTTTTCGATTACAAGAAATAAATGTGTTATGGTGCAGGTCAACTCTTTCTTCTATATTTTCCGAAAGATATTCAATATACGTAGCATAATTTAAAAGTCGATTTTTGATCTACATTGTCCATGGCGGGAATAAAAACCTAATTCTGCACGCCAATATCATTATTGATATACCTGTTCAGGCAAAAACATAAGAAAATATGTGTGTTACCTGGCTAAGATATCGCTCATCTTAGTATGCTGTCGCATGCGCTCTACCGGCCACACGGCGTAGAACAATGAACATATATTCCAACATGTCGACCCGGCTACAGAAAATGAGCTTAGCCAAACGCATCCAACACATTTTCTATAAAACTTGCCCCTGTTATGGGATCAGCATAAGAACAATAAAGATTATCGCATAAAAATGCAATGGGAATCATACAAAAATTCGGGACTTTCACAAAATATAGATCGGCTCACGTTAGTATAGCAGTTTTTATTCAATTCATGTTATTTCTCTCGAGTTGTTATTATACCAACCCTTTTAATGATGCAAAGCAACGTCCACTAATTTTTTTAGAGAAATTTATCGCGTGATGAGTACTTTGCTCCTCATGCCGTTTGATTGATTAGCTGGAACTGTGCTTTTTTGCAGTTCAGCATACTTTATAACCCTTAAAAAATTTTGTTCTCTGTATTTGTCCTAATTGAGGTTAACACTGATTGCTTTAAGGCTGTGATTCTCAAACTTTTTGGTAGTACCCCAATTTCAACATGTAGGACTTACGTTTTTCCCCTTCCAACTCCAACATTGTGAAGCAATACACTAGGAAACGAAACTAGGAAAAATCTCAATGGCCGATCAGCTGCTGTATTTGCTATCATCAACTTCATACTTAATCCTCTTCCGCCGTATGTCACTTTCCGGGAACATAACTTTCAAGTTAAATTGTACGTAAACTATCGAGTTCAGCAACCTTAAGACGTTTGTACGCAACAGAAAACATTTTAAAGTTGTTGTACGTGGTGGCAACAATCATCGCAAGGCATTTTGCGCTCACTATAGAACGTATCCTTTTTGGGAAGAAGTCTTGTGACAATATTGCTCCGGTTACTCGTGTTAGGCTGTAGAGGGTTAAGTACTCTACCCTGCCATTTCTCATACTAGATACGAATATATAAGCACGTACTCATAAAAAACACGGACACGAACGAAACATCTTCTGATGATAATAGAGCAAAACAAGAATTTTTGAAATTCTCCGACGAAGAAGGAAGTGTGATAAGGATTAAAATAAATAAGTAAGAGTAATTACAAGAGGGAAGCTAGTTTAACAAGAACGCGTTGATTCGGACAAGTTTTGTATTAGCGAATTATACTGTATGAAACGTTTTCGTAGAGAATCTTGAACTGCGCGGGGAAGATAAAAATAGTCGGTGGTAAGCATCAAGATCAAAGAGAATAATGTATCGCAAAAATAACGTGCGCATAACTATGCGCACGTTATTTATAGTTTAGTTTCAGTTTTAGTTTAGTTTCATAGTTTATAGTTATGCGCACGTGCGCATAACTATAAATTATGAAATGCGCGCATAATACGGTCACACAGGTCTGCAACAAACAATACTATTGATTTTTATCATATTTTTTTTGTTGCGCTGACAAGAAAAGAAGCCATGGACGTCAGACTTAAATAGTTTTTTGTCAAGAAACTCTGGATAGTCATTAAATTCTACTATTTTTCCTACAACTGTATCATATGGGTCCTTGCTTTGGTTTAATTGTATTCAACCTGAATAAGGCCAAAAAACCTTGAGTACCTTGAGGGCGTCAAAGATTTTCGCTACACTTGACGATACTTGCAACTCTTATGAAAGTGGAGGCGCGCTCGAGCAAGAATATGAATAAAGTTATAAGAAGTTCATATAATATTTTAGCATCTTATCATGTGGAATGTTATTCATTAAACACGAGATGCAAAATATACTTTGTCATTGTAATATTTAATCAAAAATCTAAAATTGAACAAACAAGTAGATTAATCGTATTTAAATTAAAAAGTATTGCAAACGTTCTTAATGATTTTTAAATTAGATGTACACTTGAAGCACAATGATATTCCTCAACTGTTATCACAATTAATGATCCTTTTTCAACTGCTGAGGAAGCAAGTCTCCGATACACTTTTAAAAATATATGAGAACATTACTTTTGTTTTTTCAAACTCTTAATTAATATAATGAATGCTCGTGAGAATAAATTTGGCAATGCCATTCGTAATCTCTCGTCCTGTGCTGCAGGCCCAGTGGAGGATGGTGGGTGTCGCGCACGCGCCTGGAGGTGGCGCTGCTGGCGATGGTGGCCGTGAGTTTGTTCCTCCTCATCGCCGTGTGTCTCGCCATGGCCGCCGTCATCGCTGGTTCTTCTCCTAACAGCTTGTTCGCAGGTAGTCTTTTAGAATCTAATCCATCACTAACTGAATGTATTAACGTTTTTACTATTAACATGATAGATTGATAGATTACTCGGGGCAATTGACAATGATGTCATTAAATGCTCGTTGTTGCGTACCACACAAGTTGTTCATGTTCCTAATACATTTAACAGGGTTTATTCCTCAGGAAGTCTTACTACAAGGAGCCATATCCCTTACATCTTAATGGCTTCCATTGAATTTCTTAATACAAATAATTTAAATAGCAATTTACCCAAAATGATGGCATCGTTGACGCTCCGAGTATGAACGCCTGCATGAACGCATGAACAGACTAGACAAAGCTATGCAGGGGCAAATGTTCAGTCTAGAAATGAAAAACACCTAGTGGACTTTGCGATAAGCGCAGCAGCTATCTCAAACAGTCGTCAGTTATGGAAAGATCGAGTTCAAAAGGCCGGATCTCTAGGGTAATCAAGTCACGAAAAGTACAAGAATCGGCAATAGACCATAAAGGCCTATTTCTTCAGTGCCGACACTTCTATTCAATTCTATTCTATTCCTGCACGACCTATTAAAGCTTAATAAAGACATTATCTTGGATCACGACTTCGTGCTCGAGCTCCGGAATCATTTCCTAACAGAAGCTGGTTTAGAATATACTTTTAATTCTTTAACCACCGCTGTCTTAGAACAACAGCTTTAGGTAAAGGAAAACGCCACAATCAATTAAACTAACGAATGTATTCGATGGTGGCCGTGAGTTTGTTCCTCCTCATCGCCGTGTGTCTCGCCATGGCCGCCGTCATCGCTGGTTCTTCTCCTAACAGCTTGTTCGCAGGTAGGCTTTTAGAATCTAATCCATCACTAACTGAATGTATTAACGTTTTTACTATTAACATGATAGATTGATAGATTACTCGGGGCAATTGACAATGATGTCATTAAATGCTCGTTGTTGCGTACCACACAAGTTGTTCATGTTCCTAATACATTTAACAGGGTTTATTCCTCAGGAAGTCTTACTACAAGGAGCCATATCCCTTACATCTTAATGGCTTCCATTGAATTTCTTAATACAAATAATTTAAATAGCAATTTACCCAAAATGATGGCATCGTTGACGCTCCGAGTATGAACGCCTGCATGAACGCATGAACAGACTAGACAAAGCTATGCAGGGGCAAATGTTCAGTCTAGAAATGAAAAACACCTAGTGGACTTTGCGATAAGCGCAGCAGCTATCTCAAACAGTCGTCAGTTATGGAAAGATCGAGTTCAAAAGGCCGGATCTCTAGGGTAATCAAGTCACGAAAAGTACAAGAATCGGCAATAGACCATAAAGGCCTATTTCTTCAGTGCCGACACTTCTATTCAATTCTATTCTATTCCTGCACGACCTATTAAAGCTTAATAAAGACATTATCTTGGATCACGACTTCGTGCTCGAGCTCCGGAATCATTTCCTAACAGAAGCTGGTTTAGAATATACTTTTAATTCTTTAACCACCGCTGTCTTAGAACAACAGCTTTAGGTAAAGGAAAACGCCACAATCAATTAAACTAACGAATGTATCTCTACCATGTGATGGACCATGTTCAGAAGAAAGTGTCACCGCACCGCTCATTCATTAGAGTAACGGGTTCAGACTTGAATTTGTCCAGGGCAGGAGCTCGACATGAAGAGACGACACCGACAACGTCTGTCGATAGAGACAAGATGCGAAAACGGTTCCTGAGATTGATGATAAGAAACTAAAAGAGAAGGATGAAAATGTGCAATCATTTTATCTGTATAAGCAATCCTCACAATAAAGTAAGATCTTCAGAACAGTCACCTACATTCACTAATCAGCCCTGTCATTGATATTTATAAGAAAATTAATTTAATCTACGTGCGGCGGCCGCTGCTCACTTTAAGCATAAATTTTTTGTTTAAATACTGTTCTGTTTCCGGTTTCAGAACTTTCCGGCAGCTCGGCATCAGCCGAAGTGAAGACGATCGAGGATGTTTCAGGCTTGGCTAAGCTAACTGATAATAATCTGCACAAAACTTCCGATAAACCATCGTCTTCATCGGCCGACATCTGCCTCACCAAGGGCTGTGTCACCTCAGGTGAGTAAGATATGCATATTTTCGGAATTGAATCATAATTTCAAATTTAGGCCTACTCTTCAGCGCCGACATCACTATGTTACAACCACAATGACAAACCGAATATTGATTATAACGTTACTTCATCATTATTCAAAGATGAGGATAGACTATAGTCGTTTCACACTTTTCCCTCACATCTTAATTGTAGTCACATCATTCAATAATGAGGAGCTATTATAATTCTAGGGGATCCACCAAACATTCAATAATCCTCAAAAAGTATTTTCGCCCGCTTCTTTGCCACGCGGATAATTTTTCTTAGTGTTTTTTGACTCGTTCGGAAGGTCAACTATTTTACTTGACAAAAGTTGTTGAATGTTTGAGTTTACGAAGAACGAATTCCAAGTTATTGTTGGTTATATAGAAATGTATTGACGAGATGTTGGTTACATAGAAATGTACAGTATTACTGGGATGAGAGCATACTAAGGGCGGCGGCTCGGAGTACAACTGCTTTAGTACTAACTGATGAATTTATCCGAATACATCATGTCATACAATCATATTCGGAATTAATTGACCCATTGTAAACTAAATTTCAGTACAAAATGCCAACTTTATCTCCAGCGCACAGGGTGCAACGCACTCATGTCTACGATGTCTGACCATGAAAAGGTTTTTCCGACAATGCAGGCCAGTTTATGAGGCCTGAACCTTGTAACTCTGCAACTTCTATGAGAGATTTTGCACTCTCGTATCCTCATATACCTTCTCACGTGAAAAATTTATTCAAGTATCATTTTCAAAGTTAATACCTTTTTTCATGTCCGTTTTGAGGCATGCTTCAACTTTCATGGGAGTTGAATATATCTTTCGATGTAGCGAGGGCCATATATGGACGCTGTCAAGGTGTATTTATGGTTGGTTAAGAAAAATTGTACTACAGCAAAAACATATAAGATACAATGGCACGAAAAATATTAGAATATAATTACTTAAAAAATAATCTACCATTTCTTGTCTGAGCTTGACGACCATGATTTTGTAGATTTTTTTTTCACCGTCAGAGCAACAAAATAGAAAATCAGGATACATGACCAATACCTATTACGGCAATATTTTCCTTCCAGCATCGCAGCTTATAGCCAACATGGACTCAGAAGTTGATCCGTGCGAGGATTTTTTCGAGTATGCGTGCGGTAATTATCTGAGAACCAAGAACATCCCCGACGAGAAGAGCTCCATATCGCAGTTCAGCGACATATCGGATGCCCTTAATCAGAAGCTGCGCACGCTCGTCGAGAGCGAGGACTCTTCCGAGGACACCTCCAGCAGCCTGATGGTCAAGCAACTCTACAAGTCCTGCATGGACACCGGTGAGTCCAGCACGTGTTCATCATATTCCAGCAAATTTCTCAAAGGAGCAAATTTTTTCATCATCATTCCAGCAAATTCATCATAATCATCATCATCATTCCAGAACATTTTTTCATCATCAACATAACCTTTAGTTTACTCTAATGCCCACAAAGTGACCATTAAATGATCAATGAACACAAATTTCACGTGGTTTTTAATGAAACATGAATGAATTATCGCGAATATGACAATATTTTTTGTGCTTATCCGTTTTAGTTTACATCAACCGATATAGACTCCAATTGCTGCAAAAGGCGGATTCATACTTGTGCTAAAGATTATAAATAAAGACATCCTAATTATACTGTAATCAAACTACACGACATAATTTTCCGGCACAGAGAGCATCGCGGAGCAAGGCCTACAGCCGCTGAAAGACATCCTGCGGGAGATGGGCGGCTGGCCGGCGGTGGAGGGCGCTGCCTGGGACCACAACAGGTTCGACTGGGTCCAGAACGTCTACATCAACAGGCGGCTCGGCTGCTCCATTGACCTATTATTTGAATTCTCCATCGGCAGCGACATCATGAACTCGTCATGGAATATAATTTACGTTAGTTATGTCTTTTAAAATGCGCTCATTGAGCACTATAACTTCATAAAGGAGTTTTCGGTGAATGCCGTGAGTTTTTACACGATTTTGGGGTGAAAGTTGAATATTGAATTCGAATAGAATATGAGTGTTGTATACGTTGACAGTTTTTTCGACCTAAAATCGTGTATTTGAATTGCCTGTAGAGCTGTTGACATCTGCGTGCGATTTATCTTTACTGTTACTTTAACCCCTTCGACATTTAAGGGATGCAAGTAAGAAAGTTTGCGCTTCAGGAAAGTCGACGTATTTTCTATTTTTTGAATTACCTGGCACCGAGCAAACTAGACTAGTAATGAAAATGGGAATGCCGCTTCATGTCTTTTGACACATGTTCACACCATAATACAAAAATTACTTATTAAAGGCATGGTGTGTAACTAGCGGTTTTGTTACATAAGATCGACCAGCCGAGCCTGGGCATGCCGTCTCGGGAGTATCTGCTGCGCGGCCTGAACGACAGCGACGTGCGGGCGTATCTCGACTACCAGGTCTCCTTAGCCGCGCTCCTCGGCGCCAACCGCACAGCCGCCCAACTCGAACTCACCGAGAGCCTCTTGTTCGAGATACAACTTGCCAATGTGAGCGAGATTACATGTTTGAAATTCGTAAAAAATTACATTAAAAAAATATTTTCAAAAAATTACATGTTCTAAAATTCGTTATATATAAATTATATTTATACAATGGTTGGAAACGAACATTGGAAAATTATTTCTTAAATTTTTTGCAATCTTCGATTATATTCAGCAAAAGAGTCTATTTCTGAACATGACTTGTTGCACACAAGTTTCAATTATCTAAATTTTCGACTTAAGTGTGCATGTTAAGGAAAACTAACATTGACAGCCAAGCCAGAAGAGTACCTGCAAAAATATCGAAACTTAATTTATTTAATATAATTATAATAATATAATTCTTTTCAAACAACACCCGACGACGCTTATCTTCAGCTCTCACTGCCACAAGAACGGCGACGCAACTTCACGGAACTCTACAACAAAATGACCGTAGCGGAACTGCAGGACAGGGTGCCCAGTATTCCCTGGTTAACTTACATCAACAATCTTTTATCTCCTTTCATCACTGTGAGTTATTGAGAAGACATTTTGAAGAATATGAATAATAATTCGAAGTTACAGGACATAATCTCGGTAAAAATTCGTAATAAATGCTATTCAGTCAATCGAACTAATTTAATTTTTAGTATCACTATCCATTTAGCGTATCAACTAACATCATCAGCCAAGTGGCTGATGATGCATTTTTTCTCTGGCATTTTAATAGATACCAGAGAACCCATGAATTGAGCTCTATTCAATGCTCCTGAAAATATTGTTCGTGATACACACTTACAGGTGAAAATAGCGCCTGAATTATGATTCAAGAGATTTTCAGAATCATTTATGGCGGTCAACGGTAGCTTAAGCCAGAAGTAATGTAATGGGAGCGAAATGAAAACTGTAAAGTAAGTATAAGTAAGTAAGTGAGTAAAGTTTATCTTTGTTTTCTTTTTAGATCACCGAACATGAAGAAGTAATTGTAATTGTGCCAACTTACATGGAGGATCTGGAGAAACTTCTGTTGGAAACACCCAAGAGGTAGGGAATGAGAAAGATTTTTTACAAATATCAAATCCCGAACAGGGCAAGAATCGTAAGATTTCTTACGATTATCTGAGAAATAGAACTAAATACGTTACAAGACATGTAAATTGAACTCAACGGTAAGCCTGCCCTTAAATAAGAAGTGTTTCATTAAGCAGCCCCTACTTATTCAAAAATGTTGCTCAATATATTGTGCCATCACGCCCCCAGACGTGCAATCATATTGCGCTAACAGTCCCAACCAGACCTTCATGCATAGCCAACATGTTGAGTGATAATGATTTGACTGCGTAGTAATGCTGTGTCAGCAAGTCTTACAAAAATAAAAGGAAAAGCTCGCAAAAAGGTAGAAAATGGTCGAAACAGTGGTTTATCAACAGAGAGAAGTTATCAACAGAAGAAAAGCTCACAAAAAGGTAGAAAATGGTCGAAATGGTGGTTTATCAACACAGAGAGAAATTCACCCACGTAAAATTAATTAATGAATTGAGAATGATTGAACCTATTGATTGAAACCGATATACCTAGATGAATTCCTAAAAAATTATTTGTCAACTTCTTAACATCCGCCATGATAAAAACACGCGGCTACGATCAGGCGTAGATAAGCGTTACTATACTCCCGTACGACCGTTGGAGACCACTGACAGAATATTAAGCAATAAAGCCCTAGACGGCACAATATCTTCCAGTTTGTGCAATATATTATCAGAATTCTGAAAATCACGCGATATATTGCACAACCCGTCAATACCGCCCCTAGACGCTCAATAATATTGCGTAAACCAAAATATTGCGCAATTATATTGAACGTCAAGGGGCTGCTTTGCTTAACGCTGAGACATGTTATTGTTATTCTACGAAGGTGGTTTCTTGGCGTCTGATTCAACTGAACTTATATCGAGAGGACGATAAAAATAAGTTCTGCTTCACAAACAAATGTTTTGCGAGCAAGTGTTCTTCAGGATTAAGTGGCATGTTTTTTTTTTGTTGATACCAGCTGTGAAATTCATCCTACAGTCACAGAGGAGTTAACATCCAGACTGTTGGTTCACAGAGCACGTGATCGTCAATATCTGGTACTTACCTTAGTTTTTGTTCACCACTCGCTTAATTAAAGAGCTGACAAGGTACAGTATGTCCTGTAATACTTTCATATTGAAATGCAGAAACATGCTGTCCACAGAGTGATCGCGAACTACATGATGTGGCGGCTGTCTGCGGCAACCATCAGTTACTTGTCAGAAGACGCGCGTGATCTGCAGCTCGCCTACTCCAAGAAGATCACTGGAACTGGCAAGAGGAAGCCTAGGTGGAAGGAGTGCATGGGAGTCGTGTCTAGCAGGTGAGGAATAATTTCGTCTCACGTCATAAAATTATAGAAGCTAAAAAATAAACATGGTTGGTAAGATACGGAACCTCACATAAACACCGAATTGATTTGAAACCAAGTAAAAGCAATCAAAGCTAAAACATGAACGGTTACTTGAGAAAATAATTTGAAGACTTGTGAGTAAGTAAGTTTTACATACAATAACGGCAAAACGCTCCGCATTGTACAAATATTCATGTAAAACCAAGTTAATGATTTGTCGAGAACGGCTGGTGTCATAGCAGAATAACACAATTATAGGTTCGGTGTATCAGATTCTCTTATTTAAATACATTACTGAATTTCTAATTTTTTTATTTTGTGGCAGGTGCGTGTCGTAATTACTTTTTATCGACTTTAGTAAGCATAGTCCGTTACAATATTAGCTTTCACTGTTCAAGATAATCTGATTTGCCTTTTGCATTCTGTCTCATTAGCAGTGGACACTGGACGACGTATGCGTTAAATAAATTAAAGTTGTTATCTGGATTTTTCACAGTCTCCCACTTGCTGTGGGTAAACTGTACGCTGAAAAATTCTTCAAGAAGGACGCCAAGGCTGCAGCAGATGAGATGGTATCCTACGTCAGGGCGGAATTCGATAAAATTCTGCGCACTGTTGACTGGATGGACGACGAGACCAGGATCCGCGCCATCAACAAGTCCCTGGCGATCACGCCCCATATCGCCTACCCGGAGGAACTCTTGGACGAGTCCAAATTAGCAGAGCTTTTCAAAGACGTGAATATCTATTCACTTGATTGCATAATGATTGACTGCCTAATTTCAGTTGATAATCAAGTTTGAAATGAATATTGTTATTTGAAGTCAAGAGAAAGTCAAAGATGTCAAGAATTCGAAATGCATATTTACGCCCTCATGATGAACAATGCTTACTAAGCAGTTTTAATCAACTGAACAGTGCAATGATTAAAGGTCATTAACATCAATCTGAAAACCAGTGAATGAGTGAATGGAGAGAGGATTGTGATGCAACTATTAAATAGTTTCAATGTACAGTCATTGAATGAGTTATGTAAAATTTAGTGAGTTTGTAATTTTGGCATTTTTTTCATTCCTGAAATACTAAGCAACCTTGACACTCGACGCTTTAAACAAATACTTTGGGCAAATGTTTTTATTATAATGTTCCCTATTTTTCAGTTAAGAATCTCGGACGGTGAGCTTCTCTCAAATATGCGTAATTTTACCATTTTTGGCACGGATTATTACTTCAAGAGTCTTAGAGACAAAGTTGACAAGAATGACTGGAAAGAGCATGGTGCTGCTGCTGTCGTTAACGCCTTCTACAGCTTTTTAGAGAACTCTATCGGTGAGGAACATATGTGAAGCATCAATGTGTTGCAGGGTAATTTTTTCGTTAAATTAACTATCATATTTCGGAACTGAAAATTTTTATTCGTTAGACCTGCCTAGACGTATTTTTAACTTAAAAATTTACATTTTTGGTAACGATTTTTAATGCGAGATTGCCTGCAAGTTCTGCTTTTAGGTACCTGTTATAAATGTCAAAGTCACACCTTACGTTGCATGCGCAAAATATTCGAAAGAAATTTGAACGTTTCTTCATAATTTGACTTAAGAATTCCCGGCCGGAATTCTGCAAGGAACTTTCTTCAACGCTGACCGCCCCAAGTACCTGAACTACGGCGCCATCGGCTTCGTAATCGGCCACGAAATCACACACGGCTTCGACGACATGGTGAGCTGTACTCGGACTCTGCTCGAGTTACTTTTAGTAGAAGTGAGGAGCTATTATGTTGACCATTCAATTTCATTTGAATTTATTCTGCTGCTGTTGCATACACAATTTAGCTTTGAAATAGATGATCATATTCCACTTTTGCAATAGGGTCGACAGTTTGACGACAAAGGTGATCTCAAGGAATGGTGGGAGCCCGAGACAAGATCAAAATTTATCGATAAATCGAAGTGCATCATTCATCAGTACGGCAACTACACGCACCCAGAAGTCGGACTTAAGGTGAGGCGAAAGAAACTTGGTGCTACATTTCAACGCCAAATGGAAAGAGTTCCGCTTTTTATCACTTGGAGTACCATGACTGGGGAATGGTTTTCAAGTCAGGATAACTAAAATGTTTAGTTGGCGCGAAAAACGAGTCAAGTACCTATAGACGGAAATTCTTTCTTAACTCAATGATTGCCAGTGGCTGGAGCTCAGGTGCGTCTTATAGCTTATTTAACTGTTTTAACTGTGTTACCGATGTGCTAATCTAAAATGATTAGTAAGAACCCCCGTTTCAGCTGAATGGCGTGAACACCCAAGGAGAGAACATAGCGGACAACGGTGGCCTCAAAGAAGCGTACTACGCATATAATCAGTACGTCAGTGACCACGGAGAGGAGAATCCGTTACCAGCGCTCGGGCTAACAGCTAAACAACTTTTCTGGCTGTCAGCGGCCAACGTTTGGTGCAGCAAGACCAGGCTCGAGACGCTGAAGCTTCAGATCTTGACTGGGGCTCACGCGCCAGCTCGCTTCAGAGTCAACGGCCCGCTGAGCAATTTGCCCGAGTTTTCGCGAGACTGGAATTGTAAATCGAATTCGAAAATGAACCCGTCTCATAAGTGTTCTGTTTGGTAGTTGATATTGCGCTGTTTTTTGTTGTTGTTTATTTCCTAAGTCTTTGACCTATATTCTTGCTAGCAGTTTGATTTTTATTCACTTATTCAAGCTCATAATCCTAAAAATTTAACCAGTGCTCATGTTAAACGTTGCGATTAGAAGAAAAGTTTATTTAATAAGTTTTCACAATAACACTTGTTATTATGAGAATTATTCTCTCATACTTGTCCATGATGATTTCCTTGCCATTTTGCCGATGATATCGGTTTGAATTAATTGGGATTTTTAAACCCTTAGAAAATAAGACAAATAATATATTCCAATGACATTAAAAGCAACCAATCATAATGTCAGTAGCTTGCTTCTCCATGCAATTATTTTCACTTTATCACGCGTTGTGTTATATTAACCCCAATAAAGTATTAACCCGAAAGTCTGAATTCATTCATGTAGTCCATTTAAAGTGCCAAGGAAAATTTCGCACTCCAGGAAACACAAAGATAATTATTGCTAATTTCGCACTCCAGGAAACACAAAGATAATTATTGCTAAATTTTTTACAGTACAAGTCAGATCGCCAGGGTTTGCATTACAGTCTACACTGTAACGACACGACAGCACGTTCCGCAGCAGTTCTACCGGAATAGTAGCTTGACTGCTCAACGGGAGCAAGACTAACTCCCTCACATCGTGGCGGCTTGTAGAGCCTTGCATAAACACTTTATTGAAAGTTGCTATGATCTGACAAAGAGAGAGAGAGAGAGAACCATTGTCTACGAAGTCTCGATAATATGTCACCTGAAACCTTTCCCACTGCCTGAGAATTTGATCGTCCTCGATCACACGAAACAAAGTTGGTCCTATGTTCATATGCAATCTTAATATCAAAACCCAAATCATAAGTTCCATTTCAAAGGAACATGAGTTAGTCTGAAGTATTTTCTTATTTTCACTATCGACATTAATTTTTTTGCTTAGCCCCCACTTGCTACACAATTTGTCAAAAATCGAAAACGGTCAATCGTCACCCAATAGGGAAACGTTCTCTAAATACGTTAATCTTCTCCAGAACCGGCGATTTCTCTTTATGACCAACCCTGCTTGGTAAACTTGATAAATTACTTCGACCTGCCATTAATAATATACTTAAAAACAATTGCTTGGTTTCAAAAACGAAATCATAGAATACCGTTTATTTTGAGTGCGCAATGAAGACTTATTTTTTTTAAAGTATTTCCTTTATTTGTTTTCTTGGAAGAGAAGTTATTAAGGTTACCCATAAAGTGCCACTCTCTGGTTTAAGGTATCAGTGTTTTATTTTCGCATTAGTTAATTGTAAAGAATTCTCACCATCCTCTCATAATTCTGTTTGATTAATTTTTGTTGACTTCGGTTTGCATCAATTGTATTCGTTAATATCTATTTTGTAAGAATGGGACTTCGACGTTAGGCTGTGAACAGAATAATTGAAATGTAGCAGACCAATATTTTTCGTGCGGGAGTGGCAATATAAATTTGTACAAAAATATTCATAGATTTTGTGACAACTATACCTCAGGATTCATACGGTTCCACTGGCTCGCCAGGCTGATTGGTCTTAGTCCGTTGTCCGCTGGCAACAATACCTCAGGATTCATGCGGTTCCACTGGCGAGCCAGACTGATTGGTTGCAGTCCGTTGTCCGCTGGTTACAGTTCGAAATAAAGTCGGGGAAAGAAGTGATGATTCGATGTAACGCTCAGTGGTGGACGATCATTACACTCTGGGCTATTTGCTTCAGAATATGGTCGCGTAGAGCTCTAGATACTTAAAACAAGATGATGTCGGAAATATGTTAGGCGTTTTTTTTTTCAGGGCTGATTGGAGCCCGGCTACGCTCCCCTCCCACCAACTAGACTATCCACTCTCTCACCGACCTTAACTATCTTTCCTATCATCGACCTTAACTGTCCTCCCTATCACCGACCTTGACTATCCTCCCTATCACCGACCTACACTATCCTACCTATTACCGATCTAGACTGGTATCCTGCCTATCACCGACCTAGACTATCGACCTTCGCACCGACCTAAACTGTCACACCCCTCATCGACCTATGACAGTAAATCCAAGAAACACTGCTAAATCGGTCATTTGGAGAGGCTGCTGGTGAAATTCATTCCAAAAGAATAAGTGAATATTAAAATCTTTGACGGTAATACTAACAAAGAGTGGCGTGCGCAGCCAAGCAAGGAATCTTGTGTTCGATTTTGGTAAAATTTCAAAATTCATACAATTGTGGAACTTGTCGAAGATATAGCGTCGCGTAGTCACATTCAAGAAAATTTAACTTTTTGGAAGGGTTCTGAGGGATGTTCCAGGTGCACGAAAAATCATAGATCGAGATTTTACGTTTGCTGAGGATTTTTATAATGATGGCATCTTTAACGATATGTCAAACCATTCTTGACTTCCTACCGCTTTCTTGTTCGCACTATATAATCTTTTGACTTTGGTCCATGTAGCCCTCAACCGCACGGTTGTGATTCATCAATATTTTTGGGATATGCAAAACTCTAAAATCTCTTGCGGGCTAATCCTAAGTTTTTTCTTGACGGGATGGTTTTAATCCAATGCACACTTTTGATTTAAAATTTTAACTAGCCCTGCAGTCTTGGCCAAAGTCGCCGCAAAACTGGATGATGGATTGTAGAAGTCGCTTCTCTGACGACGCGCTAGGTGGTCGGGTTTGGCGCTTCTCAAAGGTTTGGGTTTATAGGAGAAATTGACACGTGAAATACACATAGCCCAATACAGAATTTTACTGTGGTCACCGGACAGCCGCTTGCGCCCGACACGAGAAGTCAGCTTAAGTTGGCAGCCTGTCATCAGCAGTTTAGCTTGTGCAACCGACAGTAGAACAACGCTTGGTTGTCCGACACAATACTGCTTATAGGTTGTTTCCTATATAGCCGAACCAATCTCAGTAGTCCTCAGCTCTGTACAGCACTCTGATAGGAGGGCGAAAGCCTATGATTACACTGGTACCTATAGAGCGCCAGTAAAGCAGTTGTTGAATCTTTCACTGAGCCGACTGCTTTAGATCTGTCTCAGAAGAAAAGACCGTTTTTGCATATAAAGACCACACGAATCAGTTGAAAAGTTGATGGTAAGATTATGCAAGCAGGTAGGTAACATCACTTGAATATTTTCCGCTTCTTACAACGGCCATGATATCTGTCCTATCATAGTTCATTGGCAAATTACATGTTGGTAATATTCCTAACAGATAATTGCTTCTGCAATACCTGTTTTAAACTTCCCTGTTTGAATATTAATAAATGGATTCAATAGAGCAGTCATTAATGACACAATTGTGTTAAAACTTTTGTACTGGATAAAACCTGATGACTGAACAATTTTATTCTGCTGCTAGAATAACGGTGTGCTCAATTTTCCAAAACCGGCCATTACCCGGACCTAAAACCTGTTTGGCACTGAACCGATCCTCTGTCGCGCTAACAAGTGAACATACTCATCAGCTATCTACATTTGACAGCATTTCGACATATTTAAAGTATCAAATCAAATTACGTATAAAGATATAGGTTCGTAATCCAAACCGAAGATAGTCTAGATCGAAACCTTAAAATAGTAAGATGACCGGGGGCGGGCGGTTAGGGCAGGATCTTGACCGCTATTTAGTCAGCCGCCCGCTGCAACTCAGACCAGTTGCCTGACAGCAGCCGACTCGACTTGGGCTAAAGGCAAGCGCCGGAAAGATGCCGGAAATGTGCACAATAGTTAGTGGGTTTTTACTAATGAATAATAATAAGTTTTTCCAACGAATTTTAAAATTCCTAGCTTTTAAATCAGAATATATATATAAATAATCCCGAATATTGTTTGACAATTTTTCAGTGCCCTGTCGCGCGACCTGTTTCAAACGCAGTGACTTGCTTCTTTCGAGAAAATTGAACTGAATGTGATGATGACGAAAAATATTATGGTGCTAGCATTAATAATGTGCTGATCCTTGATGAGTATCAGCAAGGGTGAAAATGAGCCCACGACTGGATATAGATTACGGTTGCCACACTGCAAGAAAAAAGCGATTTTTCAAAGATAGTTATTAAATTTGGAACCTCGGGTAAAATATTCTAAGATGTGCTTTAGGTTAAACCCTATAGGTATAAACGTATGAAAACGATCATTTGCAGCAAATTTGCAATCAAGTAAAATTGCTTCAGAATGGACTTCATGCGTGATCAAGTTTCTTTACTCAGTAGCAGTTTAGCGTACCTATTCTGATGATAACCGCACACTTTCTTCGGATTAAAATAAATGTTAATTCTTTGGTAGTATATCAATGAGATTTCTGCTATTTTAGGCACCTATTAATAAGGATTTCTTGACCACTGAGAAGTTTTAAAATTCAAACTATATTAGAAATTAGTGTTCTTAGCGTCTGTGTGAGGTGCACTAAAGCTTTTTGTGTTCTTGTTGATTGACGTCTTGAAATATGCATCTTATTTAGAAGCTCTAATAAATGATTGTTCTTTGTGATCGCACAAATATATTGTCGTACAGGCCAGTTCAAAGGACTGAACTGTTGTCACGCAGACAATAGCCGAGTGCATAGAAACACAGACAGTAAATGCTTTCTAGGCGGCATGACTGATTGCGTAAAGCTGCACAAAGCTGAGAGTCAAATGACTCTGGTCAGCTCAAGAGGCATACCTGATGAATCGTGAGTACCGTAACTGTAATGAAAAATAATAGTGAAAATGTCATTGAAAGGCCTTATATGCTTTACATGTATGTGGTTCATTTGGGGATTATTGTTTAATTCCTACTGCTGCGTGTATTGGAAAGTGCCGGCTATTGTTTAGTGAGTGACGCAAAAAGTTTTAAAATAAAAAATGAGTTTGTGAATCGGAGTTGTCTAAAAAATTAGGCATGTCGTTGTTTTAGTTCAAAGTACGCTTTTTGTTGTTAGCAATCGATCATGAAATATAGTCCAGACGAAAGCCTGCAACGGCGCTCGGTTCTAATAATAATGTGCCGTGGCCACCTTGATAGCGTGCTGGCTCTCTCCCCTAACCTGCCGTTCCAATAAATAAAGAAAGCAAGCAGCAGGTCATACTAAACCCTGCAGCTTTGCCTCAGCTTATATTATGGTGGCAACTCGTGCATTGCCTACAGCTTGCATCGCTTCCATCTGTGAGCTCCTTTTGCTCACTAGATATAAATATTGCTGAAATAATAGATACTTGTTATTTTATTTGTTAGTTTACAGCGCGAACTAATAATACATCAGATGATCATCTTTCATCCAACAAATAATCTTATTTTTAGATACGTGGTATTAATCGCGATATAAATTCGAAAGTAACGAGATTTTACTTAAATTTTCGTTCACAACAGCCAAGTATTTGATGAAACCAGAGGCTGTATTGTCCGCAGGCCATTCTTCGACCGCTTCACCTAACGTTATACAAGCCTGAGGCAGACTTCGCGGGTTGGCATGAGCAGAACTCGTGTCCCTCAGTCTTGTTTGCAAGAGTTTCATTGGTTTTTGATTTGATTTGGTGAATTTAGTGCCATCAAAAATATTTTTGGCATTTTAGCGAAATATTTCGGGTTCAAATATTTGGGCTGATCAAGTTCATTAATCGAAACTAATTTTAAGTTGAATTTATTGCCAGGCAATGGATTCGATTAAAGAAACGGAGCGAAAATGTTAGATTAATTTCATGTTTTCATTGTCCATTGACTAACATACTTCAGCCGCGAGAGATGAATTGCGTATATAGTAGGTACTGTCGAATAGTTCAACTGAATTACATTCATATGAATATCCGGCATAACGGGAGCTGCAGCTATCGCTATTTGATTTTGCTTGTTGTTGATTCTTTAAATCGGTCTTCGTTTTTTGTTGATATTAATACTGTTTATTTATTGTTAACACATCATTTTCTCTACTATGTTCATGGCGTGAATTCATACGATAGTACAAATCGTTCTAAGCATCCCATCACATCGGACCTTAAGATATCCCAAGAATTATTGAGAACCTTAATTACTAATTACGCAGTAATTCCAAAGCAGATTTAGTTTCCTTACATTTGATACGGGGATTTCTCAAAAGCATATCATATCTCTGAAGCGTAGTCGGCTGTATTCTTATGCATTTTCTTCCATTATCTGAATGTGGAATTTAATCAGCTAAAATTGACTCGTAACATTTTGTTATTTTATGTTTTTGTTTCATACCTGGTTTGCATTTCACAATGCCTTAATGTATCGGGAGAATGATATACGTTGTGTGCATCACTCCGTGTTATGACTAGAAAAATTGTATTGATATAAATATTTACTTCGGATATATTGTACTTTCGGATATTCGGATATATTGTACTTTTACGCTAGTTTTTAATTATGTTTGAGATGCATTACGTAAATTTTATCAATGAACTTGTTATATAGCTGAATTGTATATTTATCTTCTAACCATAAAATTTATCGTTCTTTCATTCCCTATTAAATCTCCCCTTTGAGTTACAGGCCCAGCGGAGGATGGTGGGTGTCGCGCACGCGCCTGGAGGTGGCGCTGCTGGCGATGGTGGCCGTGAGTTTGTTCCTCCTCATCGCCGTGTGTCTCGCCATGGCCGCCATCATCGCTGGTTCTTCTCCTAACAGCTTGTTCGCAGGTCAGACTTCAGTTTATTGAATCTTTCAGTGTCATAAACTTGGTTCATATTTTTGGCCTTAGATCAAAAGGAGTGGGAGTTTTATTTATATGGAATTTGAGTTTTGGGACATGTCATCGTGGATTTAATTCAAGATCATGAAGACTTTTCGTAGTGTTTTTTACAATGTCCGCATTCAATGATCTATCCTATGAAAGATTATCTTCCACGCAAAATATTTTCACCTTTCAGCCACGAAACCGTGCGTTTAAATCTTCTTTCCCATTTAAATATTTTTCTGCCTTATCTTCTTTCTTTGTTTATTTGTTTTTGTTCTCCTCTTCCATCCAACGACTCCTCGACGTCATCTGGTGCTCGACTGAAAAACGGACATCGTTGGTACCGCCCTGCACTCGTGTTGTCTTCGCTGCGCCATGATGCCTATAAGTGCACTGCGTTGTGACGCCGTTCGTGCTGTGACAAGTCTTGAAAATCTCTTCGTAATGGATCGTTAGAATAATTCCTCCCTAACATACCCTGCGTGTTCATGCTGATCATTAAATTTGTACATCCATGTTCTGGCATCAAACACTACTCATGATAATTCGAAATTTGACGATGTTCCCAGCATTACATTACTGACATTTTCTCTTTACGCGATGACGTTTACTTCACCATTCTAACCATGCATCTTTTCGATTTTGTATGGCGTTGCATATTACTAATTTATAAAGATACAGAGGATATTTCAGCCGGAACTTCACTTTACTCGCACAAGTTTAAGCGATCGCTGCCTAGCTCCGAGTTAAACGATCGAGTCAAATCAAGACACGAAATCTTATTAGATCCTGAGTTGGCGCTGAAGTTTTCGAGTCAATCCCAAGATGGAGATGGTTTTTTGCCTCCAGTGATCGAGGAAAATTTACTAATCAAGGTCGAATCTGAAAGCGAGCGATTTGAGCTGAAAGAAAACACGACTATTGAAATCATCACATCTACAACATCCCCTCTTCTTCCTGGCGTGTCGCAGTCATTAGGAAATGACACCGTCCATTTACCAGACTCTGTAGCAGAAACGTTGGGTGTCGGACCAATAGAAAGCAATGTGACCGAACAAAAGACTTCACAGGCACCAATCGCTGTTGGAGATGAGAGTTCGACGAAACAAGCTTCAGGCAGTGATGTTGACAAAACTGAAATAGAAGACGATATCCAAAAACCATTGCATCCAACCGAAGCGAGTTCAGCAGCAGAATCTTCAGTGACGCCAACCGATTCATCTATATCTAAAGCCAACTCGGTTAATATATCTTTGAGGAAGGAAACCTCTCAATCTACAGGTAGCGCTTCATTCGATTCGTCGACCACTGCGCTTAACTCAATTCCAGGATCCGACATAAAAAAACCTATCGCGGCTATCAAGGATGTTTCAGACCCCTCTGAGCTCTCTGTTGTATCTTGCAAAGCTTCTGGAGGCCAAACTTCCTCAACATCCGAGTTCTGCCTTACCAAAAGCTGCATCACGTCGGGTAAGTAAGATGGTTAAAGTTTTGTTAAGAATTGTTTCCTAACACCTTGCTTACGATGAATTCAACCATAGTAAATTGAACATGAGAGTCCGTTGTCCTTTTGATAACAATTTTTGTTAATCATTTTTTTTGAAATTACTAATACGGTATCCGATGGCCTGCGTTTCCAAAGAATTATAAACTTTACGCATGACTGGTTTATTCAATAACTGAGGCATCGAATAAAATAAAGCTTTATTAAGCATTTTCCACTAGCTGGACTAAAAACAACTGCGTGTAGTCCAATGATGAAGAATCGTTGAGAAGGAGTACCAGTGCATGCGGTAGCTGCATGGTGTCTAGCATTGGCTGTTGTGCGTGGTCAATGGAGGTAGTTAGTTATGGATGGTGTTCTAACAGATGAACACAAAAAATAGGCCTCATGTGTTCTCGCCCAAAAAAGGCATTGAAAAAACTATTATTAACAGTTTTCACCCCTTCTTTGAATATCACAACTTTAAACGGTGATTCATCGTAATGTCTCCTTCCCAGCATCGGAGTTAATCGCCAACATGGACTCACAAGTCGACCCTTGCGAGGATTTCTTCGAGTACGCGTGCGGTAATTATATTAAAAGCCGGAACATCCCCGACGAGAAGAGCTCCATAACGCAGTTCAGCGACGTCTCGGATGTCCTCCAGGAGAAGCTGCGCATGCTGATCGAGAGCGAGGACTCCTCCGAGGACACCCCCAGCGGCCTGATGGTTAAGCAGCTCTACAAGTCCTGCATGAACACGGGTACAAACACATCTTTTCGACAGAGATTATCTTTATTATCTGCGAGGCCACCCTCACAAGTTGATAACATTGATGGATTGAAGGACACAAATTGAACGTGATGGTCTACATATTTTGGCGTAATTATTAAAGAGAATACAATAATGTTGTAATGTTTAACATTTTTAGTGTAAAGAAACGGCATTAAATTCATTTGTTCCTCAAGATGTATATCATTACTGGTGATGAAGAATATAAATTTAGACATTTTAAACATTTCCAAAGCACGAGCCGCCCAAGATGTAATTTTCTGCACAGAGCGCATCGCGGAGCAAGGCCTGCAGCCGCTGAAAGACATCCTGCGGGAAATGGGCGGCTGGCCGGCGGTGGAGGGCGCTGCCTGGGGCCACAACAGGTTCGACTGGGTCCAGAACGTCTACATCAACAGGCGGCTCGGCTACTCCGTTGATTATTTACTAGACTTCTCCGTCACCACCAACATCAAGAACTCGACGTGGAGAATTATAGACGTGAGTCATTGTCGGGTAGTATCGGTGAATTAATGTTGATATAGACCCTTCAATGACTTCAGACCAGAGGCCAATGATATCTCGGGTGAACCTCAATAAATATTGAAAGTAGAATAATATGAATGAATTAGTGTCAATCATGAAGAATAAAAAAAACTTTTTTGATTTACACCAAGTAGTCAGCTTGAACTAAATTTCGAACTCATTTTACGAGTCTAACTTATATTTTAAAAAAGTCTTGGCTGTTGAGACATGCTGGTGCTGCGCATACTAAATCTAAATTGGGAAATAAAAAGTATCCCAAAGATTTAGTTAATGAATACCTTACTGCTTCTGTTCCCTTTGCATCATGGAATTAATTTTTCTAGCTTATGAATAGTTGAAGCAGCCTGTGCTAGTAAGTATAGTGACAGAAATTTCATGCTTATAAGAAACTGCAAGCAGTTGAAGACGGAAATAAATTTATCGAAATAGATAAGAAATAACTTAATGAATTTTTTCTTTGACTGAGAAAAGAATCTTCACACTATGAAAGAATAATCACCGTTCGCATTTCAATAATGAAAATTTCCACCAATATATGTGTAACTTGAACTGATCAATAAAAGCTGTAAAAATCAGTTTTGGCGCTACCAGAAATAGTTACAAATTTGTAATACCGTCAGACAATCATTGACTGCTTTACAACCTGACCCCACAACCACAGACAAGAAATCGGCGGCACGTTACAAGTAGTTAAAACCTTACGTGCACTTGAGTAATTGTTGAAAAATATGTCCGCTGGTTTCGCAACTTATTACTTCATCTCGTCAGATCGACCAGCCGAGCTTCGGCATGTCTCGGGAGTATCTGATGCGCGGCCTGAACGACAGCGACGTGCGGGCGTATCTCGACTACCAGGTCTCCTTAGCCGCGCTCCTCGGCGCCAACCGCACAGCCGCCCAACTCGAACTCACCGAGAGCCTCTTGTTCGAGATACAACTTGCCAATGTGAGCGAGATTACATGTTCGAAATTCGTAAAAAATTACACTGAAAAAATATTTAAAAAAAATTACATGTTCTAAAATTCGTAGAAATCCTTTCAATATTTATATTTATACAATGGTTGGAAACGAATATTGGAAAATTAATTTTTAAATTTTTTGCAATCTTCAATTATATTAAGCAAAAGAGTCGATTTCTGAACATGACTTGTTGCCTCGAGTTTGAGATACAACTTGCCAATATAAGGGATATTCTGATAAATTTTCTCTCTGAGTATCTATGCGATTTACAGTTTTGGAATTCGAGTTTGCTGAAAGATCTGGTTTGAAGTTTGGAAATTTTTCAGCTGAAACGATTTAATAAAAAACGTTCGAATATCTGCGTCGCAATTTTGCAAGTAATATCGTATACTGTAAGCGCTGCTTGAACTGTTGAAGTTTTTACGCATCTACATGAAGTACATTTCTTTACAGTTCTCGCTGCCGAACGAGAAACGCCGTAATGCCTCTGAGCTCTACAACAAGATGACCGTGGCAGAACTGCAGGCCCGAGTGCCCAATATCCCGTGGCTGTCATACATCAACACTCTATTGGCCCCATTCACTAACGTGAGTTATTTAAGAATCCTGTTTCTATCACAAGCGTATTATTTTAAATCTCAGGTTTCACTCACTGGTTAGTACATGAGTCGCAATAAATGCGTTTGAAAGTATGTACACTTTTTTATTTTTTAAACGAGTAGCGTACGATCTAGGGAGGGGCGGATCTGAATTAATATGTTGTGTTGCCTTTTCGGTCTTGCATATAGATTATCTGAGAAGTTCATGAAGGATATCGATCATCACAAGGAATAGGAAATTATGGGATAAATAATTCATTATTTTGCTCCATACAATAATAAAAATGTAATTATAGTAAGTAAAAATGGTAATGACGTCTTTAGCAAATCCAAGTTTCTGTTCAGTCTAAATGGAAATTATGTTTTTCGTTCTAGATCACTGAAGATGAAGAAGTCATCGTAAATGTGCCGTCGTACCTTGAAAATCTGGATAAACTCCTGTTGAAAACGCCAAAGAGGTAGAAACTGAAATTTTAGCGGAGCTTTCGGTATAAATCCATGTGAAATTTATGTGACTTTGTCGTTACTTAAAATTTGAGAGCAATTACAAACTATTGAAAAAGCTCGGAGGGATTTGAATTCCATCTTTTGATATTCTTACGCTAGCAATAATATTTCATGACACGCCATGCCATATTCGAATCTGACAAGAAAACTATTTGAGTAACGTTTGGTTTGTGGTTGCTGATGCCAGCTATAGCTGACAGGCAATTGTACATCAAAAGGCTTACCAAGTGCTGGTTGACCATCAGTTATTGTTAGCCGTCACCGTACTTTCACAGAGTGATCGCGAACTTCCTGATGTGGCGGGCGTCTGCGGCATCCATCAGTTACTTGTCAGAGGACGCGCGTGATCTGCAGCTCGAGTACTCCAAGAAGATCACTGGAACTGGCAAAAGAAATCCTAGGTGGAAAGAGTGCATAGGAGCCGTGTCGGGCAGGTTGGTTATCAATTGGTTTTTCCTAATTAAATTGAAACTTGCCTCAACTACGATTGACTGGAAAGAGTGGAATTCATAGAGAACATGAATATTTTAAAGCTTTATTCATATCAGGTTACTCAATCAGAAGGAAAAGTCAAACTGGAAATCATAAACTTGGGTTGCAAAATCCAATTGAAACATTTCTCTGAGACCATGCAGATACAGGAGTTGAAACAAAATTATTTTACCCCGGAACTCAAACCTCAGGTAACTTAAGAAACAATTGTGAACAGCGCGATATGGATGTGGTGGTGAGGCAAAAATTAACTAAATCAATTACGAAGCTTCTCATTCAAATTACTCGTATAAAATTGTTTCGACAGAGTTGAAAATACTTCGACAGGATTCAAACATACGTACGTACTATATGAAAAATTTAAGCCTATGGTTGATATTCATGAGTTGGAACAATCATCCTGTTTCGTTATTTCATTGACCGCCCATGCGGATGAATCTAAAATGGTACGCTAAATTTTTCTGGTTTTCAGTCTCTCGTACGCTGTGAGTAAACTGTACGCTGAGAAATTCTTCAAGAAAGACGCCAAGGCGGCAGCAGATGAGATGGTATCCTACGTCAGAAGGGAGTTTGACAAAATCCTGCGCGCTGTCGACTGGATGGACGATGAAACCAGGCTCCGCGCTATCAATAAGTCCCAGGCAATAACCTCCCACATCGCCTACCCTGACGAGCTTCTGGACGAGTCCAAGATCGCTGAAGTTTACAAGGATGTATGAGTTTGTTCTATTGTAAATATGATAATTCAAAATCCAGTATAATTCGTAATCTAAATTGATATTCTTACATCGAAGAATTTTTAACACAGGTCATTTAGATTTGATTCATAGGTTTAATAAAATACAGTCTCACCCACAGATGAGCGCAGCACGCTATAACTTCGTATGGTAGGTTTTCAAGATGTAATATTCAGGATTTTTTAGACGTCTCTCTTCTTCAGTATATTACACCGCAATGTTATTATTTTTAATCAAAATATATCCTAGTGCATGACTGTTGATGACTTACATTCGAATTCACTTGTAACGGCGTTATTTTCTTTGTAATCGTTGCATGCATGACCTGATGTGACGTGAATGCTAATCCCAGTCGTTTGGTTCTAATTTTCCCCTCTTTCCAGCTGCAAATCTCGGACGGTGAGCTTCTGTCGAATATGAGAAATTTGACAATTTATAGCGCGGATTATTCCTTCAAGCGCCTCAGGGAAGTGATCGACAAGAATGACTGGAAGAGGCATGGTACCGCTGCTGTCGTTAACGCCTACTATAGCCGCGTGGACAACTCTATTAGTGAGACATTTATATCTCTGTTCAGAAGATAATATTTTCCGGTGGAAATTAACACCATAAATTTGAGCATGAGAAAATAATCTGTTTCAATTGTATAATTACAGTAGAAAATAACAGCAACTCCTACTTTTGAGGTTATTTTTGACGTTAGATAACTTTTATATCCGTAAAAAAATCAATATTATTGTGAGTAAAACTTAACGTGTGTCGTCTTTAACATCGATGAAAATTCAAAGCGTTGTAATCACTTTTCTCCTTAGATTTCCCTGCTGGAATTCTGCAAGGGACTTTCTTCAATGCTGAACGCCCCAAGTATTTGAACTTCGGCTCCATCGGCTTTGTGATCGGTCACGAAATAACGCACGGCTTCGATGACGTGGTGAGCTGAATTAGGATTTTGATTGAGTTTCAAGTATCCGATCTCAAAGTTAAGAACAATCTGGTAATTTTACGACTGATAGTAAAAATTTTGGGGGTTTAATTTTTAGAGTAGTACAATATTTACATAGTTTTATACTAATGTCTTTCCAAATTTCATGACTCAATGCGTCCAATATCTTTATAATGAATGTTGATAAATTTGAACTGTTGTTATAATATTAAAACTGTCTTCTGGTAACTGATTTTTGATCTACGAACACCAACAAACAATATTGTTAAATTTTTGAAAAACGAAGAAGAAAATTCTCAATGAAATTTAATCTGTGTTCTTCAATCAAACTTGTAGAAAAGAACACATTATGAATTCTTATACGTATAGCGAAGTTTATATAATTTATTATACATATATCTAAGTTTATATAGCTTAGTATACATATAACTAAGTTGAGGAAAAATTCCGCACAGGGTCGCCAATTCGACTACAAAGGTGACCTCAAGGAATGGTGGGAGCCCGAGACAAAAGCGAAATTCATCGAGAAATCCAAATGCATAATTCATCAGTACGGCAACTACACGGCGCCAGAAGTCGGACTTAAGGTGAGGCGAAGAGAATTTTACGCTACATTTGATAACTAAGTAGAATTATTGGAAATGAACTTGATTCGTTTATTGTTAGGTCTAATGACGTGACATAGGAGCAGAATTCATTCAATCCTGTCTTTGAAGGTTTTCAATCAGTCTATATTTCTGAATAAATGAGGATGACTGTATACGACCAATATGCAAAGATTAATTGTTTCATGTATTGAGGTGCATTTTGCTTTATTTTTTCACAGTGGATTCAACTCATTTATCGATTTACCGAGCTTAAATGACCAAATTCCCTGAAGGTTGTCAATGTTTTAGAAAATTCATTTACAAAATGAATTTCAAATTTACAATGTTCTGAATTTAAACTTTACTCTTCAATTACATTATAGCCGGAGACGCTACAGATTATTTTATAGATTCTTCTAATTTCGATTGATTGTTGTTATGAGTAATTTTGCTGGGAGACTTCGAGATCACGCGTAAGCTACTGAACGAATCTTCAAACCTTGGGGAGTAGAAAGAGGAGAAGATGTATCATGCGACCAAGAATATTTATGCGTCATGGAGTATTTGAACTCTAAATTTTCAGAATTGTAGTACGAGAAAACTTGTTCTGAATTTTTCGGTTAACAATAGGTATCCGTCAAATGTTGCAAAAGCCGAAAAACTGTTAATCAATATTCCCATTGCAGCTGAATGGCGTGAATACCCAAGGAGAGAACATAGCAGACAACGGCGGCATCAAAGAAGCGTACTACGCATATAATCAGTACGTCAGTGATCACGGCGAGGAGAATCCGTTACCAGCGCTCGGACTAACAGCTAAACAACTTTTTTGGCTGTCAGCGGCCAACGTTTGGTGCGGCAAGTACAGGCCCGAGTCACTCAAGTTCCTTATCTTGACTGGGGCTCACTCGCCTGTTAGGTTCAGAGTCAACGGCGAGCTTAGTAATTCGCCAGAGTTTTCGCGTGACTGGAACTGTAAATTGAATTCGAAAATGAACCCGTCTCAAAAATGTTCTGTCTGGTAGTTAATGATGCTTCTTCGTTTGTTATTTTCCTTCAAATTTGTTAATCTTATCCCGAACAACTGGTTCTTGGTGCGTCTATAATATGTTCAAATTTATTCATTTTTCATCTTCTTTGTCAACAATCACTGGGTCTGGGCATGTGAACAATTTTTTACTTGAACTTACTTAGGAGTATTTATAAACTTTGCCTCAATAAATGTTTTTTACGATTGTTTTTCACACGAAACCATCATCAATAGCAAGGACGGAGTTAGCAAATATCTACTGAATAAGTTCTAGAGTTCTTGAAAGGAAAAAAATATAACTCAGTACTCACTGCAGTGAGTGACAGAGAGTGCATTTTCTCGTCGACGAAAACGTGAAGTCACGGGCGGACAGACGGACATGCCGAGCACAATAGCGCCTTTTTTCCATAAATGAGAAAATTCGCTGAATTGGAGCAAAGTACTGTAACGAAAATTTTGTCGAAAAAAGTAAGAAAAATCCTTACTTCCAGCTGATCGGATTAAAATTTACCGGATCAAACGAGTCTTATCAGCAAAAGTGAAAGATGTTTCATTACGCAATGTCGGAAATACGACAATTAACAGCAATGAAATGCACTAAGACTGCGTTAATTAGCTTTTTGATATATCATGACACTTGCCATGAAAAATTTTCACCTAAGCTGAAATCAAATTTTATGAATTACAAATGCGTAAGAAGTTAGTATCACGGTTAAACGATGGTGTGCGTGTCAGCATGTTAAGTTCTTCACGCATACCAGAGCAGCGACTCAATTCATGAGTGGGTTTGATGCCTCGAGGACTGATGCTTTCACTAAACTTGCAAATTTTTCATTTATGCAGTTAGCAACCATAATACGAGGAAGGCAAGCATCGTCTAAAATTTTCACCAACAGCAGGTAATGGATACACTTAAATTATGATAAAATACATAAAAATGCCGCATTTGCTAAACGAGATACGAATGAAATCTCATGCGCACTCCAGCTTAAACTGATTATACATGAACGTTTTCACTTTAAGGTCCTCGTGGATCATGACATTTTTTTACCCACTCAATAGACAATTGAGGCTACGGGAGTCGTCAGTTTTTTTCACAATAGAATGAAATGACATTGTACAAATTAGAGAAAAAGTCCACAATTATTTTTTCAAACCTTCAATATTGTCATTCGTATTACAGGCAATGTTAGGGTTTTCATCTGCAAACGCGGTAAATATATCAAACACTTGTAATCATATTGGGCATGAAGTTCTAATGAAAACAATTACGTCATTTCACATGAAGATGATTTCGCGTCTTGCCGTGACAGCTTTGTGGGCAATTTACATTTGGTTTTCAATTCGATCCGCAAATTTGGTATTGAATTCTACTGTACTCAAGTTGTCCAGTTAAAGTACAAATTAAATTGTATTAAAATTAACATTAACTGTTTCTTTTCGATGATCCAGAAATTTTTTCATTGAAACACCGTTTTTTTACAAATAATTCGAATTAGATCACAACATACTGTATAACTGATTTGAAGCGGATATTGAAGAGGTCAATTCATGCGACAAACTATATATATTTTTCTTGTATATTTACTCCCCACGCTCTATCGCAGAAGATTGCTTGAAGGTAAGAAACAGTAAACAAAAACTTAGTTAACCAATCTGCAGCCAAATTAGCACGTGGAAGCTAATGTGACCTTGGTTTGTTGTGACAAAAAGTACGACGTAATTTATGCGGCTTATTCCAATTGGGTTTATGTTTTGTTGAGAGGTGGTTCAATACGTTTTTGTTGAGAGGTGATTCGAAAAGTTTTCTCTTTATACTTGAATAATTGATATTTTTCTTGCCTAGCGAGTACATTTCACGTCCATTCCTCGCAAATTAAGTTTTCATGAAGAATCAACAAAAAAGATGGAGTGTCCGAGTCATGGTTGAATTAATACAACCATGGAGTACCAGTACCATGGAGTACCAATTAATTCAACCATGATCCGAGTATTCCTTGTATCTTATTTTCGGTACATAAAGCAATAACACGAGACTATGAGACACTTAAAATAGTATTTATCTCAGATGTTCAAATAATGTTTTTTTAGAATAACGCGATTATTTTTGAAATGGCTATGATTACTATAAGGTAATAACGTCCATAAACGATGACGCATATAATTACAATGGTATCTTTACAATACCTCCTTCGACACGTCATTTCGGACATTAACACCAGCGCGTATCGGCTACTTTCTTTCTAATGTTAGAATAACAACCATTTTGCCAGTTCTAGCAGAAATACTACCACCTCTGCCCATCTTAAGATACGGATTAGACTATTTACTACTATAATCTGGCAAGGAGTGGATAACTAAAAGAAATTCTATCAATGAATTGGATTTTGTTTTATATTGATTTGAAACAGTAGGCGCATTAAATACTTGAATATTTTTTGCGGGCATACAGCAGTTCGTATCACGGCACTCGACTGGACACGTGGCCATCCTACTCGCTGAGCTATTTGCTTTGATACTAAAGAAAATATCTAAAGCTAAATCTCAAGTATTTCTACACTCAATATCCAGATTTTAGAAGGCCAGGAACAATATCGCTAAATGCCCTCTCGACACTCGCATTTAGGCGCGTGTCAATAGCTCAGACGATCCAGTGAAAGCACAATGAGTTTCACAATAAACCGAGTTGCGAGGAATGACTAAATATGTCAAAATATCATCTTCAAATGTTTCAATGCGCAAAATACTATTGAACTATCTGAGAAAAATCTAAATTCAACTTGGTCGCATATTTAGTGATAAGACTCGTATTAACTTGTGTGATATTTATTAGCGAAAATTACAAACAGCTGCTGGCCCACATATCTCACTCATTATCTGGTTAATTAATTCTGCTCTCAAATTGTCGAGTGAAAAAGTACACCACAATGCTAGCCAGACGCGGCTGGGTGACGGGAGGTAAGAGATGGTAGCATCAACGTGATGACGACCTTGAGACTCGCCATGCTTGCAATGAAGGTCATCCCCCTCCAGCCTGATCCAAGCTAAGTTTTGCAGCCTGTCAGGAAATGTTCCGGCCTCCGAAAGAATGAGTGCACGTGTTTGCATTCCTGAACAATATTTTTAATCCAGCTGTTTCTTTTGTAAGGGATCTTTTCCATTCGGAATGACTCAAAAAAACTGGTGAAAACTACCTTTATCTTAACAGTCATCGTAGATAGTGAGATCTTGCCAATTGACATCTCTAGATAATTTTAAAATGGTTCAATGTTGACTGCCATTTTTCGCACGAGTTTGTTGATTTTCGATTGCTATTACCATAAGCTATAGTGCTATACGATTGCGCTAGGAAACTTGATTTTTCGACTATACTTACATTATTTAACCTCCCTCAAAAAAGTATAGTTAGACAGCATCCTGGAACTTATGAAGCATTCTTCTAAAGTTATTTACATTTAATCCTAACCGTAACGAAAATTTCAACACAAGTGGAAGACTTGCAACAAAAATTTTGATTGCTTGAATCATTTCCGTAACTCGCGTTCTCATCGATTCAAATTTAATCATTCAGGTCTACAAAAGTATTAGTAGACTATCAATGGAGTTGGTTAGACACGCCGTTTGGTATATCAGTCGATTGTCAAAACTGAGGCAGTGAAAAACAGAAATCCAAGATAAAATAATCAAACGAATTTCTAACATAAAAATCAATGTAAGCCAACAAAATATTTTACTTCGCTACTTTTTTAAACCAAATTGATATCTGCAATACGTTTTTCTCGCTAATGATAATAATTTTTTAATTAAAAGAAAGAGACTCCAGCATTAAGTAGGTTAGTGTAATTCCACACTGAGTCAAGTACTTTTGTATTTTAGTAGTGGAGTACAAGAATCAACTAGCAGCACAAGTAACCTCCATCTACGGGCAATGAATGTCCATTGACGAAGTCACTACAATCGCTCAGAAGGTAGACTACACCATTAACTATGTCATTCCTGTAAGGCAATTTGCCTTGAGGCGTGCGGGCCATCAATAGTGAAGTCTCGCTACACTCCACATCCTTCTGTTGTCCAAAATACATCTCACCAGATGAAGTATCCATGACGAGAGTGGGACTGAGTGCATTGACTCGGATGCCTTTGGATGACAGCTCCAGAGCCATGGACTTCGTAAGAGATTCTACCGCAGCTTTGGAAGCTGCATAAGTAGCCGTTTGTGCCGCCGGTTTATGCCCAAGAGTAGACGAAACATTAACAATGTTTCCTTTTTGTCCCCTCGAGATGAGGTCTGAAGCAACGACTTGCACCACGTTTAGAACTCCCTTCACGTTTATGTCCATGGTTTTATCAACTTCCTCCATGCTGACAGTCAATATTGGCCCAAACTCGATTCTTGCCGCGTTGTTCACCAAGAGATGAATGGGTGTTACTTCCATCACGGCTTTTCGCGTTGCTTCCCAGTCTGCCAAATCCACACAGATGGCTTTGATAGAAGGATTTTCTTCTCTAAGACTATCCAGCTTCGATTGAGTCTTACTCAACGCGTACACTTCGGCCCCGAGCTCCACCAGCCTTAATGCTGTTGCCCTTCCGATGCCAGCGCCAGCACCCGTCACCAGTGCTCTCTTGCCCGTAAAATCGACCGACAGGACGTTCATGATGGTAGAGGTTTCTTGACGTTCGCTTCTGAAATGAAAAATGTTGCCGTAAATAGACATATATTTTCAATAATTCAAATCGCCGTATAATTTTGCATAAATTTATTTCTGTAATCTCGTTTGAAGTGACATATTGAAGTCAAGCAATATGTGCAACTGTAAATGATTCTAAAAAACTTTTAAATAAAGGAATTTGTAAAGAAATTACCACTGAGTCTGACTACATTACCCGTAAAGTAAAGAAACGAATCGAAAGAATTTTACAAAAACGGCGTTATACGTCGTAGAATTAGCGTTTGTTCGTAAATCAAGAGAAATTTTGAACCTTAAGAAAAGTGATAACTGAAGTCTTCGCTCTTTTGAAGCAAATCTTGAACGGAAAGCAGATCGTTAATATGAAGGGAGCTGCATAACAAATGATGCATCAAACCAAACTACGGTTGACCTTGACTTTAAAACCAGGCTGGCTGATGCCATGATGCTGCCGGGTGCTGACTAGACAGCTTCTAATCCACGGCAGTGTTAACGAATTGACGAATAAACAATAACCATATCATTGCGAAATAAATGCAAAGAACTTCAAATCCATAGAAAGAGTGATGCGTTAAAATGTGGTAATGGTGACTGACCGTGACTCTGAAAATCACGTAAAGTTAACTGATTAAGGACACCGATGTTCATGTTGTCTTTAAAGCGAATTAAGGACACCGATGTTCATGTTGTCTTTAAAGCGAATTAAAGATAGCCTGTTACGCAATAAAATGAAAACAATTTTAGCTTCTCATAAATTTTTCTTTGCAGCAACGGCCGATTTAATTTAACAACACTACCTGCCATTAATATTTGCTTTAAATTAAAGCGACCAACAAAGAATGCTCGGCAATGAGACAACTACCTAGGTATACAGAGAAAACAATTCGAATTGGCCGTTAAATTGACCTATTATGAAGAATACTAAAAAGCGGACATTTAGAACATCACCTTTCTTTTGAACGCATAGGAAAATAAACTAAATGTATAATTAGGCTATGAACGAACGTAGCAGCGCCGCACTCCACCTCCACCACTTGCTACCGAGTAACTAATCGGCTGAGCTCACGAGCTGCTCAGCTGCAGCTGATCTTCACTCCATCATCTGCATCGTACAGCACACGGCCGACTATGTTTTAAGGAGAAATTTTCTGTCGCGGCTGTTGGTCGTCAGGATCGAATTTATGACAAATTCTGAATATTTCAATGCAAGTAAAATATATTTCTTTATAAATCTTTTAAGTTATTACCTTTTGGATGATTTAAGTCAAGTAATTTCTGAATGTGCAGCCAAGGCAAGAAGCTTTCTGCTGAACCAAACCGGTTGTCCGTTATAGCCTAGGCTCTTGGCTAGCTGACAAGGTATGCTCAATGTGGGAGCGCAGCCGTGGTTAACAAAATTGACTCGTAAACAGGCCCTGGGCCTAACGCCAACCATCAGCATGCAATATCTACACATAGCCTCAGATCAATGAGCTGTGGAACTCCGGCTAACAGTAAATCCGCTGTGCACAACACAGCCACTGCTTCACAGCGCCGGAGCCCAACCGGCCGGAGCGCAACAGGCCCTACCGTAACAGGCGGCGCCGGTAAGGTTAGGTTAAGTTACGTTAGGAGTAGCTGTTGCGGTAGGGCCTGCTGCGCTCCGGCCAGTTGTGTTCCGGCGCCGTTGAACCAGGCCTGTGGCTGAACTGCGCTGTTGTGGTGGGCGCTTTGTGTCAAAAGCCGTGAAGATGCCCGGCTGCGTTACGCTCGGGAAGGTATATGAATCGCACTGTGGACTTGGGCTATGCTGACCTCTAGCTATCCACCCCTCATATTATTCGTGTCCTACCTGAAAAATCTGAATCAGTTTTTTTAATAATCTTTTTAGATGAGATACATTAGCTTGAATATAATTGTAATTTTAAATATTGCTACTTAAGTCAATGAGGTATACATTTTTCCTGATAACTGAGTTTCAGAAATTGAATGATCTGTACCAATACTAGGTTAGATCTTTCTCAAGAAGTGAGTGAAGTCCACCAGAAATGAATGAGGAAAGAGGAAAGGCAAAGTAAGTAGAATCAATTGACTACCATTTGGAGAATGGTGGCTCAAACTTCGCTTCAAATTGAAAAAAAAATCTGTGAAATTACGTCGTCAAGTGAATGTTGAATCATCAGGCAGTTTAAAACGTTATATTATACTTATATAGTTGTTAACGAAACATTCTCTGCTTGTTTTATGTATTTTTAATAGAATTTAATATTTTATGCCATATCAAGCAATTGAAATGTTAAGACAGCAGTTCCAAAACATAGTTAGTTAATCTTACTTCTGAGCGTGAACTTGGCAGTTAAGAATAGGTTCTTGACACTCGAATCTCCATGTCAAATTGTTAATTCATTTTATCTACGTATTGATCATCGATCAGTAGTCAGGGTTTCTTTTCAATTGCTCTTTCATTGAAGAGTAGCGGGTGCTTCATAGCCAAACATTCACAAGACTAAGAAGTAGAATGGGCTGAGATTATTTCTGTTATTTTATAGATTATTCGGTTATTCCTTATGTTTAAGCGATTACTACGTCATCGCTTAATCATAAGGTTTCATCCTCAGTCCCTCTCATATATTACATGATCAGAGCAGACTGCGAAAAGCAGAGCAGCCGCGACTGTGGGGTCGTCGGACGGTCTGAACTCCGTGTAGGAGTTCCGGATCTTGGCCGGAACTCCGACAATATTTATTTGCACAATAATATTTGTATAAACTTTCCATAATCTGAATGAACTAATATTCTACTTATTTTTGACCTACACTTACTTAATTTGCGCCATTCCGATGTTCTCTTGCGCTGCAACCTCAGAAGTGGTCATGTTTTGCAGTTCGGCGAACATTCGAACGAATGTTCGAATCCGAATGGTCGGAGCGTTGGTGTCATGATAGTTGCGGGACATAGTAGGTTGGCTACGTGAGAAGTTAACTGTGAATAGGATAGTGATAGGTGGTGGCACTTCTGAATAGAGTAGAGATCGAATCAATCAAGTCGTAGACACATGCAAGATATCACTACAGTGTATTTAAGAAATCATAGGTTAATATTTCCTTATGTTAATATACTTCTCTACTGACAAAAGCTATATTTTCGATTGCTCATTAATAGACGTTATTCAAAATAACACATTTAATAATTATTCCTCATTCGATTCATACAGACGATTCTTCATTCTACGATAGCACGCGAAATTCAAATAATTTAATTATTTAACAACAATATTTAATTTATAACTATGAATTCTTTAAGATTAAGTTGATTCATACACACATTCAATATGGCTGATGATAAATCTCCTATTGATTGATAAATTGAGGAGATAAATCTTCTCCAACATCATGGTTAAACACCGCCTTAATTTCCAGAATGTTCCCTGGAACGTTGTGAGTATGATTGTTGATTGATTGATTAATTTAGTCTCTGTTTATGTTGTACTCTTACACTTTTTACGCAAGGAAAAATGTTTGGGTGAGTAAAACGATTGACTATTGTTTTCCATTTTTATTAGTGATATCTTCTTCAAGGACTTAGAAATAAATGACAATCCCTGACCGATCTTGGTGGTCAGGAAACCAGATGGGAGTGGGCAGCTCCTTATCCGGTTTTGGGACCGATCTTCTGGTCCCGGCGAGACGGCAGGCGATGTCAGGCCTGTCCGTCCCGCAGGCGGCGGGCGTACAGACAGGTGTTCGGGCAGAGCTGACGGGCGTCGAGGGAGGTCGTGGCTAAAGGGAATACATCATGAACTATCTTCGCGAGGCCAAGGGTTCAGACATCTCGACCTTAAACTTAGACCATCTTCCGGCTCTGGAGGAGAGAATCTCAATCGCCTACGACATGAAGACTAACTGGGCGAAGAAAGCCTCCAGACAGATTGGCGATAAAAGATTTTTCATCCATGTTTCGATTTAGTTTGAGCATCATTGGTAAAATAAGCGATCGCTTAGCTGCTAATTTTTTAAACTCTGGACACAAGGAGGCGTTTAGTATCCGCCTCCACCGTACATCATTGGAGCAGGTGCATAGTCGCATTTCGTGACCGTGTGGTACTCTGGGATGGTTTGATAAACCGACATGGTGACGTACTGATTGATTGTCTCGGTGACGGTGTTGTACACATAATCTTGCTTGGTCTCTGTCACGTAGTTTGTTACGTAGTAAGGATTCTTGACGGTTTGAGTAACGTACTTGTTCTGTACCTTGGTTTGCGTAACGTAGTATCCTTTGGTTTCGTAACCAGTTTTCGTGACGTAGTTAGTCATAGGATAACTTTGTGTAATTGTTTTTGTTACGTAAACAGCGACGGTCTCAGTGAAGTACTCAGATGCTGTGTTGTAACCGTATTTACTCTCAATCATGTATACAGGCACGGTCACCATTTTGGTATCGTACAAGATTTTGGTTTCGGTGTAAATGTTTGGTTCTGCGTAGGCAGTCATGGTGGAGTAAAGAACGATTGTCTTAGGAGCGACTTTGGTCTCGGTGATGTAAGCGAAGATGGTGGTCGGCACTTCTCTGGTGAGAGTCTCATAATACATAGAAGTTCCCTGGACGTCCTTCGTCATGGTCTTCCAGATCTCTTTGGGATAACATTGAGCCTTCTTGGGAGGTCCATACGACGGAGCAGGGGGAGCGCCATATGACACAGCTGGTGGTGGTCCATACGAAGGTGGAGGAGGTCCATAAGATGGTGGAGGAGGTCCATATGACGGAGCCACTTGGATAAAGCCTTTGTCGGGTGATGCCACTGAAGCCCCGACCAACGCCAGCAACGCCCACGCAGCTGTCCCGAACATCTGCAACAAAAGAACACATTGATTTCTCTTTGCTTTCTTGTTTACAAAAAAATCGTATTGCTTGTACAAATGACACCATTTTTTTAACTGAGAACTACATCATTTGACGTTAGATGTACTATCAGTCATTGTATAAATGATGCTGAAATGTTATCATAGTACACTCAACGTAAAATAATCTTTTTGTTTTAAAAGATTCAAATGGAATAGTTTCAGTTTAACAAAGAAACTTTAGTAAATGATCATAAATACATGATTGTTATTGAGTGTAATATAATGAGATTCATTCATTCCATTATTTAAAAAAACAGATATTTTAATTCGATGGAACAAATAGCTTGCCTTAGGTTTCTATGCTTTATGATTGCTGCTTTACATGTGGACCAGAATGAAGGAAACTATTGAAAAGAGAGAAACAATTAAAGAGAAAGCCTATTTTGTGTATTTGTAGTGAATGTTCCAGTAAAAATATGAAAGCTCAAGATGAGTCTGGAGCATGCAAGATAATACACATGAAATATTCCTGAAACAAGGAGCGTTCTACGCACATGGAGCGTATAAAACAAGTCATGTTATACAGTATGGCTCCATGGCAGCCCCTGATGACAGATGGCGACCGCATGCGTGACTCGGTAATTAGTCGGAGTTTCAGTTCAACGAACATTGGGTTCAGCATGCAAGGCTGGATCACGACAGGACAGCTGCCTGGTCCCATGTCGCTGACCTGAATCTGGATTATGGATTTACTATGTCGTGCGAGCATTTTATTGAATCGCCTTTGGTGTTTTTGTGTAAAATAGAATAAAGGCTACTAGTTTTAGTGCTTAGGCTAAGCTGCTTGTTCAAAGAAACATGTCGTACATGCAGCACAACTAATTTTCTGCATTTTTTTAAATGATCATAAATACATGATTGTTATTGAGTGTAATATAATGAGATTCATTCATTCCATTATTTAAAAAACAGAAATATTTTAATTCAATGGAACAAATAGCTTGCCTTAGGTTTCTATGCTTTATGATTGCTGCTTTACATGTGGACCAGAATGAAGGAAACTATTGAAAAGAGAGAAACAATTAAAGAGAAAGCCTATTTTGTGTATTTGTAGTGAATGTTCCAGTAAAAATATGAAAGCTCAAGATGAGTCTGGAGCATGCAAGATAATACACATGAAATATTCCTGAAACAAGGAGCGTTCTACGCACATGGAGCGTATAAAACAAGTCATGTTATACAGTATGGCTCCATGGCAGCCCCTGATGACAGATGGCGACCGCATGCGTGACTCGGTAATTAGTCGGAGTTTCAGTTCAACGAACATTGGGTTCAGCATGCAAGGCTGGATCACGACAGGACAGCTGCCTGGTCCCATGTCGCTGACCTGAATCTGGATTATGGATTTACTATGTCGTGCGAGCATTTTATTGAATCGCCTTTGGTGTTTTTGTGTAAAATAGAATAAAGGCTACTAGTTTTAGTGCTTAGGCTAAGCTGCTTGTTCAAAGAAACATGTCGTACATGCAGCACAACTAATTTTCTGCATTTTTTTCTTGGGAATAACGCTCAGTTTCCATCCCATGATGATAACAGTACACACAAAAGTGCTATTCCCTCAAATTTGCTCGAAGGTTTGTGTGTCAACGGCGTCAGCTGGCGACGGCGATGCCAGACGGTTAGAGTGAACGGCTCGAAAAAGCAGATGTCCGCTGCAGATAGATCATGCTGCCTAAATGTGTCAACTGCTGCTGTTCTTCCTTACCAGACGCGTGTTCTGGATTACCGTTAGCAAGACCTAAGCTTCGTCGATCAGCCTATAGAAAACCGTTGCTTAATTTAGGGAGTGAGGATCCACTGCTTGAGATTCAACTCGTGTTTAACGAGATGTGAAACGTGATTGCTATATTATTATTTTAGATGATGACATAAATGTAGAAGATATCCTAAAATCAACATAGAAAAGTAGGTCATAAAATATCTTTAATTTCTTTGATGAAATGAGACGCACACTAAATGATATAACATCCGCAGTTTAATTTAATTACGATAGGTCATGAAGCGGGACAATTATCTACGTTTTATTCGTGAACACGTAAAATAAATACGTGGAAGTTTTGATAATATGGTGAACTAAAGTAAAAATATTATATAAATGAGTATTAATTTACGTTCAATTCTTGCTTAATCGAGCAAGGAAATTCCCAGAAGCTACTTTTATTGAAGTTCATTCATAAATTTCTTCATATATTTATCTATAAAGAATCTTCAATGGATTATGATAACTCTTTAGTTTTTGATGCATAGTTAATAAAGAATGTTTAACCGTAGAATTAATATTTGAATTGTTTCACAATATACATTTTTCAGCTTAATTCATAAGTGTTAACATTTTTATTAAGTTTAGGTCAGAGTGTCATTGGTCAATTGCTCCGAACAACCTGTCACTCATGTCATGCTATACAAAATAATATTGGTTCCGGCTCACTAATATCTACTAATGTAATCCATTGATACCATTGCAGCATATGAGATTATGTTGATGTTGCAATATAATAATAACGACGGAGGTCAATGATCAGTGAAGGATAGCTCGAGGTTGCGAGGCGGACATGTCAGTTCAGTGGCAGTCAGCCTCGACTCAAGTGAAAGTGTTGCATTCTTAGGCGGATCAGCGGCGGGTGGAGGAAGGAAAGGGAGAGAGAGAAAGATTGGGTGAAAGGGAGCACTAAACTACGTTGCTTGACTCTACAATGTTCACACTAGCATGGAATAGAAACTCCAGCTGGACGGGTTAATAGGTAAGAACTACAGCGCATTCAAATGACGCTATTTATAGAAGAGATACAGGTTCGCAGAGAGCACGCTGCTTATGGCGTTCCTTTTCAAAATCGATGTTGTTTTAGTTGCTTGTACAGTTCCTACCATCAATTTCACAGCTATCTATTCTAAACAATCTGAATACTATTCTCTGAATACTAATTCTTCAAGTCACATCATATCGTCTGTGACAACGTCCGACTACGCACCAGCTGCACGAAAGACTCATGCATTCTAGTCAGGCATTCGAGCGTCAAATATTCAAGTCTGAGAGCTGCGAGTGAAAGTGTTGTGGTTTCTTTGTATGTTCTTGCACATCGTTGGTAAGATCAGAAACCATTCAGGCACTGCAATCGCTCCCATCTTCTTCAGTTTGTTTGTCTAGTTTAAGAGGCGGTGTACGAACAGTTATTTTTCGTCAATTTTTGCCTGAACTTCATTTGTTTTTGCAGTAGCAAATTATTGCCCATAAATTGCTAAAATGTGTCATGATTATAATATTCATAATTTGATGGATTCCAATGAGAGCTTTCCGCTCGTCGTGGGAAGCAAAAGACTTTCGATTTAGTTTCGAATGTTATGAATAGGCATGGCGACGCGCGTGAAAATTGACTCTATAATATTTTTGCTGGAACACAATATGCATTATTAGCAACTGCAAGCTAAAAGGTGTGAATTGCGCCGGCGTATAGAAAATATGTAGAGATTGGATGAAGTAGCTTCCATCACCATGCAGGCTCAAAATAATTGTTAGGCGTCTTCTTGTCCAGTTATTGGGACCCTAAACTGTATATATTAGACAGCGGTTTCTACTTTTATCGCCATCATTACGAACCGGAAGCGACTTTGTTTGCCAGCGAACAATTCCGCTTTGCTGCGTTACACAAAAGCGTTCGAATGATACGAAAGCCGAGGAGAAACACAGGAATTAACTCCAGTTCTCGAAAAGAACTGCAATTGCTGAGTTAGTCTCTTCATATGTAGGTGCGCTCGACTGAGCAGACTTCACTGAACGCGCAAAAACATAATCGTCAGTTAAGAATAGAGCGACTTTCTTGTGCGATGATTGTAAGCAGACATGTTCCTTATCTGAATTTTACACACCACACTCACATGGAACCGCCCGGTGCGAGGCCTAATAAAAACTCAACCTGTGTTTTTTGTAGGTGAAATTTTGATGCAAAAACTACAAGAATGTAATCAGAAGGTTGTTAGAAAGTGCGCTAGATCTTCACTTCCTGACCGGGCTCGAAAAAAATGTGTTAAAAAACAGGCCCAAACTTAGAAAACTGAGAGAACGAGACCAAAACTAGAGTTTTATTTGGAATTTAAATTAGAAAATAGCGTGTTGCTGTGCCATGCAACCTACTTCCATGTAAATTGCTTGCGAATGGCTAAACTAGGTTATCTTTGCAGGGCATTTTTTCTACCTGATTCAGATTTGTTAATTATTAATTCCTGATAAAATGTTGTCAAGATAATCGCAGCAGAAAATAATGGAAAAACGTAATATATCACACTGTGAGCCTTGAGAAAGCTAAATCTTATTAAAGTAATTTTGAAATGTTAATTCAAGTAATGCTTACGTCATGGCCATAAAATAGAAGCGGGATGTTTTGGTATCCTAATATGCGGAATTTTTCATTTTATCAAACATGAATCTCCATAAATGTCTGTCAGTTATTTTCAAGAATGTAAAAAACAGAAGACAGAACAACGGTCCATTACTTTACTACTTGCGATAAATCCTAGAATATTTACTCACATTTACAGCATGAATAATAATAGCAGTGACTAGTAAGTAACGCGTTTACATTTAAAATATTAACTTCCTCTAACGGAATAACAACTCTCAGATATCCGGATGATGAGAAATCCTTCGAACAACATCCATCACTCTATGAAATTGCGCTTATTTCTTAAAATTTCATGATAGGTAATTTAAATTAAAAAATGATATACAGGTGACTTGCTTTTAAAAACACAAAATTCTGAAGCCCCAATAATGATGGATAAAACTACTTAAAGAATAATATTGTTAACTCAGAATATTAACTTATTATACTCGTATATCACTCAAATTGAAAGATAACTTAAGGACCCACCTCTGCTGTACTATTGCCCGACTGTGCGTAGTCCGTACGGCAGCTCTGCTGTACTTCGATTGCGAGGCTCCAGTCCGCTCCAACCCCTTTTATACCGCGACCCCCACGCGGGGAGTAGGGAACTTTCTCACAATCCCCATTAGTTACCTGTCTCTACCCCCCCCCATACGCTCCTAGGACCTGCGTGGCTAACATAGATTGGGTCATAATGAAAGGCAGGCAATCCTCCATAGAAGGACAGGCAAAGTTCATCCATTTTTACCACCTCAAGGCTGCACGAGGTGGTCAACGTCTTGTGCGTTCACTATAGGACGCAACAACGACACTCGTGACAGAGGCTCGTGAATAGATAATGCGTGCTACAAAGCCAAGCGAATTAAGAAGTAATTGATTATTTTTTAATTAAAGAGGCTAAGTTTGGCTGAGCTAAAAATTTGCAAGAAACTACTGAGAAACTGTAGTTACAACTCTGTGGAGCTACAACAACTTTAGAAACTACACTGTTTGATGCTATAACAAGGTAAAATGAAATTACATCTCAAAACAACGACTGTAATAGCAACAGAATTATTGGGTGAAAGTTTGAAGACTTATTGTTCCTGCGGCCGCGCCTCGCTCTGTTCGTGTCGTCAAGAGCACCCCGCTCATCAGTCTCGTGTACAAACCGACTCTTCTCTATGCTGAACAATGCAAGACTATAACTCGCTTTCTTCCAGGACAGCCTTCATCGCATATATTCGACTTTGCTTTTGGCAAAGAGCTCGTATGACACGCATATCTAAAATTAATTAAATTATTTATTAAATAATTGACACGTAAATTAGCTCAAGAAACTTCAATGTAGGCATCGGTTTAATTGCATTTAGACTGAATTCAATAATTATATAGTTTGTAAATTTTATTGTAACATACATATACAAAATATATTCATTATTATTAAAAATTCGAATTAGTATTATAAATTCGTAATTTATTATTATTATTATAAAAAATTAATTATCTCTGCTCGTACTCTAGTCCCTTAAAGTTAGAATCGAAATTACCTCTATTACAATATTGTTTTTAGACCCGTTATATTTACAATGTAAGTATTAAGATCACTTGATTGCTTAAATCGAAAATTTATCAAGAATCTAGGCGCAAAGCGTATAGCCAAAAATCAACCATTTCTTTATAAGAGAGAACGTTTCGGAGTCAAGCTCCATCATCAGTTCAAAACTTAGAACACTATTACAAATATATGATGATATATACATATTTATTTACAACATGTGATAAGGGAATTCATTATACATAGGGAGTATAGATTATAAGTTGATGATCAGCCATATATCAAAACGATATCAAAAATAATTGTTCATAACGAAATCAATAGTTGTGACACGCCTCAAGTTTGCGTAATTCTGAGAGTGAAAAGTTATAACCTCCCACAACAGGTGCAGCATTTCCTGTTCTTGGGAAGCAAGTAAAAGTTCTGAACGGGAGAGAGTCCCGTGGCGACAACAGCGGATCCGTGAACGTTGTTCCCAAAGCATCATCATTTTAATACAATGGGAAAAATGCACGTATTTTAGATATGAAATATTAATGAATTGAAAAAGATGTTTTGGGATGTATAATATTTATGTATGAATGTAAATAATGTTTCTGAGTATTTGAATAAACAGTTAACGATATTTTCTACAGGAAAAATGTCAATGTGGGCCGAAAGATTTCATGTATAAACTGTCGAAATTTTGTTATTACAGCTATACGAGAACGCGGTGTATATTCAGCTGAGAAAAACCGCTGTATCATCAAATCTAGTATGATGAGCACGACATGTCATTGGGTTATTTGCTGTAGTCTTCGTTGCCCTAAATTAAGAATTTTTTACCCCGAATGAAGAAATTTTTATTGTCCCTAAGATTGCTGAGTCATTTAAGATTTCGAAGAACCCGACGGCGCTGCAGGCATATCGCTGAGCAACTAAGCCTCCGTAACCTAGATCTAAATACGAGAAAACTGTTAACTTTAGAAACCCGAAAATAAACTTAGGAATTGGGTACCTCCAATTACCAGAAAAAATTTCATTTTACTTTTATAAAATGTGTGCTTGTATATGTTGATCGTGACCATCGAGCACATCATTTGATCAGAATTGAGCAGATTTTCAAAATGGAGCACATGTAATTTTCTTTAAAACGATTTAGACTGAAGGTCTGTACAAAAATCTGCATTAGCAAAATAGGGATTTGAAATTACATTTAATCAGGAAATGAGTGAAACGAGTGATAAATAAATGAATAATAACAATGAAAATTATTAGAGGATAAAATCGTTGAATGGAGAAATTTGAGATGATTGTGTCACTGTACTATTTTCCCAAAGTAACTTCGGGGAAAATAGCCAGATACTGTGTTATTTATTGAGCATTAAAATTTATCAGTTAAGACAATGCACAGGGAGGTCTCAGCTTGTCTTATGCCGTAATAAATTACGATAAATTCCAAAACGAAGTAACGAATCCCTGGAAGGAAGCTACATATGGAGAGAATTCGTGAAGCAATTAATAGGCAATTATCTGCCTTGTTTTCGACGTGAATACAATGGAGAACGCCTGCGAAGACTCGCAGCCGCATACAATAGTCAGCAGTCGGACAATTTCAGTGAAAAACTGAGAGTACAGGAAGACCTTTTGTCTACTTGGCCACTTATCTAATTTGTGGTCGTAAGATTTCGATAGGCGAGGATGTTTGGCAGTCTTTCTGCGAATTTTTTCAGCGATGAAGAGTACGAAGCGATAAGAATGACCGTCGATAAACTTATTATGATCAAGATCAGCCACTTAATTCTTCTCAGATTTAACTTTGAGCTATTCGATTGTGGTCGGCGGAATGACATTGTTATTCATTAGTCGTCAAAATAGCCATTTTACGTCATTCCGATTTAAAAGTATATGGTGTTACACCGCGGTACATAAATGTCATAAAAACGCTGTTTAAAATATCTACGACGCAAAATGTTTGACTCCACAGTACCAGTTAATCAGTGCGGGTTGACCCCAAAGTCAGCGTCAAAATAATTTGCTAACTAAATATTCATACACCTGAAAGAATGCATCCATATATACTGTCTTTGAACGAGTTAATTTAGATGGACGAATTATCGATTTTAAACTCTTGATTTGCCAATGGGTAATTTAGAGTCGACTGTATATCAAAGTATCCTAGAATTTGTTGTAACTGCATCACAATAAAACCGCGCCTATTCAATCTGTTCTTGGTCTGACAGCTGTATGGAGACATTCCCACATGTATAAGTGCATTACAGAACTCATCCGTTGCTGTCTCGCTCTTACTTTCTCGGTACTTACGAGCCTTCGCGGTCGAGCTGTGTTGCATCAGGACTAATATGATACGCGTTCGCAGTTTGCACGCATGTCGCAATTGCTGTTGCGATATATTCTTACAGCAGTAGTAATTTAGAGCGAATTCACGCCGCATTAGTTGCGGATAATCTCGTGATAAGATACGCCGCTCATTCGCGGCTATGTGAAATCCATTCGATACAGGAAAAGAATTTCTAGGAGTAATTGGTAACTATTCTGTTATTTTATGGAAATGATAAGAGGGTCATAAATTGACATTAGTGACTTTTATTCTCTATCGAGATAAGTTTCCTAAAAATTTAGCTTTGATTGTGGTCGGAATGACATTGTTATTCAAGAATGCAATTCCATGCAAACCGCATTCGGATGTTGTCAGATTGTAGAACCGTGAACGTCTCTCAATAAAACGTCTTTCGTCGCCAATTACAGACAACATATTATTTTAAAACATATTACTTTTAATTATTATTACTATTAATTATTATTATTACAATACTTCTCTTTAACTTCACTTCTTGTTTGTCTGTCTGCTACAAATCTTGTAATCGAAATTTAACACACTCCTACTTATCCTATCGACCTGAAATCCTGCACACTTGCGTAAAGTTGGAGACAATGCATGAATCAAAGAACAAAATAAATAATTTTAAACATAAAATTTTGTTTAATATTAAAAAATTGAAAAAATAATTTTGTCTGCTGCATATCTTATAATCGATATTTAACACACTTCTAGCTGTCCAATCTATCTGAAATTTTGCAGACTTGCGTAAAGTCGGAGACAATGCATGAGTCGATTGACAGAATAAATAACTTTGAAAATTTAATTTCTTTTATGCATTAAAATAATTAAAAAATTAATTTTTAAACGTATGGCTCATATTTTATCAGTTTATTATTCTAAACCAAAAATAGCAAGTAAAATGTCACCAGTATCAAAGTTGCGTTGCTAAATTCGTTAATTCGTTATCGATTATATATTTCTTCTTTTCAAAATTCTTCCTCGGGATGTACAAGAGGAGCGCTCCAGTTAGGCAGATCCGCTCCACCGCGCCACTATAACACATCGTCGATTGCTGGTTGATTACGTCGTAATGTCTTTAATGACGTTGAGTCGACGTCTAATGATTGCTGGGACTCAATTTTAATGAATAATGATTGGCAATGTCGTTCGAAAAAATGCATTTTAACAGCGGCAAAATCAAAAGAACGGAAATACTTCTGCTATAATTTAACCGTAAAAACTTCACGCTAACAAATAATAGGCAGGCAATGGTGATGTTATTCGCGGTTTTCCTGCGTGATTTTATTCCATAAACACTTGACACGTCGATAGTAAATTATTGTCTAACAGTTTTTGATTAAAAATATTTAGCTATTTTCTTGTTTCTAACAAATTTTGATACCCACTAATACTACCTAGTGCTGGATGTGCACTTCCACGCTTTATAAATCGCATAACATGGGAACGGAAAGCTTAAAATATTGACGTCGTTTAAAATTATAAAAAAATTCATCGATATTGTGGTGGGAAGTGAGGTGCTATACACATTTAATTAAATGTAAAATGAGAGTTCAATTCAAATTAATGCCTTTTCAAGGCATTAATTGAAGTTATCGTGGCCCAAAATGAAATCAGTGCAAAAAACCGTCACCCTTTCAGAAATAAAAACAATTTTTAGATTTTTTTCAGACCCGTGTAATCAAAGATAAACTTGTAAGAAAAGCAGACTGGGTGACCAGTTTTTCCCGGTGCACTTTTGCGGTCGTTCCTGAGT